CCAGGGAAGATAAGAGCTGTGATCCAGCAACATCTGCAAGACTGCAGGTTCCTCATCCCTGCTGCATAGGGGAATGGAGGGCCCAGTCCCAGCATCTGAAAAAGTGGTTAGCACATACCATCCATCAACTGTCAGAACCTATCATCCCTTACAACTGTGGGAAGCCCACCTAGCTTAGGCTGAAGGTTTACGGGTCCACCATGTGGACAATCTACTTCGAGCTGCAGGGTTCCATTCTGTCAAATTGCGGAGAGGGCGCTTTGAAAGAAACAGCACTGGAGAACGCAGTCAGGAAATGCAGAAAGGTGAGCTTTATAACTTGTCACCAACTATCATATTATGGGTTTGTACCCACCATAAACCACAGGACAGTATGAACCAGCACCTGATAAGCAAGCACCTTCTTCTGCATTAGCTGGAGGGGATAATGGTGACTCTTTTTTATGTACAGTGGTACCTCGGGTTACATACGCTTCAGGTTACATACACTTCAGGTTACAGACTCCGTTAACACAGAAATAGTGCTTCAGGTTAAGAACTTTGCTTCAGGATAAGAACAGAAATCAGGCTCTGGCGGCGCAGCGGCAGCAGGAGGCCCCATTAGCTAAAGTGGTGCTTCAGTTTAAGAACAGTTTCAGGTTAAAAACGGACCTCCAGAACGAATTAAATACTTAACTCGAGGTACCACTGTGCTAGGTTTTTTGTAAACAGTTGTAAACTGCAGTTATGCGCAATAGCTGATGCAGGGGAGATTCCCAAGGGAACATTAACATGCTTGGAAATGTGAAAGTTCAGCTGAATGCAGACAAAAGAACTGGCAGCAACTAATCCGTCACTTGAGTGGATCTCAAAACATACAGAAGTAACACAGGGATGCCAATACCAGATCCCCATCCAAGGCATAAATAGAGCTATTGAGAGAGTTTGGCACCGACACCAAACTTAGAAGCACTTCGTTGGCGAGTTACCAGTGTGCCCATCATCCTCTCATTCTTGGCATTCAGTGAGCCAGCATGTCACATGACAATAAACAGAGCAAAACCAAATTAAGTGTGTTACTTAAATTGCAAAATGCCAAATACATTGTCAGTGCTAGGAAGTGTAGCTCTGCTTCTTTTAACTGCAACTGAAAAATGCAGTGGAAAGGAAAAGAACTCCAGCCATCTAAAGCTGAGAAGTGTGGGCAAATCCATTTTTGTGTAGACTGCCTGAATAGCCTTTGAGAAGCAAAGGTTGTTTATTGAGAAAGTAGGAAGGAAGATGGGAGTATCTCTGAGATTCTGGAATCAACAGTTTTGCTTCTGCCAGATAGGGAATTTGCCAGGGAGCTGGCCACTCAGAAAGAAAAAGCATAACAATGTGAGTGAGTGTTATGTATTTTATATATAGACACACACATGGGCAGAAGAGTATTGCTTGCCTTCTTAATGCATTCCTGCATTGCAGGAGGTTGGACTAGATGACCCCCCTTCCAACTCTACAATTCTATGATTAATTCTTCACACCCTCTAGTTAAGCTGCTGTTTGGGAGCTGAAGCAATTCTCCTAAGGGGAAGATTTGGTGTTCTTTTAAGTTTAGGAAAGCAGCAAGTAAGGGGAACATGCTAAGAGAAATATAAAATGATTGCATAGTGTGGAGAAAGTTGATAGTTGTTCTTTATCTAGCTTTATGAGGTCATTCAGTAAATCTGCATGGGATATCCTGGGTAGACATAAGTACTTTTTCACCCAGCACATAGCCGAGCAATTTATCTCCAGGTGTGGTGACAGTCACCAACTCAGATTGCTCTAAAAGGGGATTAAATGAATTTGTGATGGAGGGTAAGGCTTTCAATGCCTACTAGTCATGATGACTAAATATGCCTTCTTGAGAATCATCATGTCCTGAATGCCATTTGCTGGAGAACAGCAGTGGGAGAGGGCTATTGCTCTCCTGCTTTTTGACTTCTTGTAGATATCTAGTTAAGACCTTCAGAAACAGGATGCTGGACTAAACAAGCCCTTGGTCTGATCCAACTTTCCAATTGATGTGTGAGCCATGTCTGTTTTGAGTGGAACATGGAAATTAAGACTGTGGTAAGCAGCTGCAACATTTCTGAGGAGCTAGAACAATCTTGCAGCACAGGCCTCCTCGCATACAGATATTAGAATTCCATTCTATAAATATGATCATAAGTCGTTAGAAATTTAATTCAGAACTTTTCCCACATTTCTGAAATTATACTAGATCAAAGGATGGTGGATATCTCTAGAGATCTACTGTGGGTACATAAAAAGCAACCCCCCCCCATGTTTTAATGTGTAAAAGAGTAAAATAATTTTATGTAAGCTAGTTCTTTTTAATACATAGAGCTGTGCACAGGAAAGTGTTTTCTGGCCAACAGTTATTTTGTTCTGAACATAATGTTCTTCCCATCAATATGGTACATTCAGACAGAAATACACCCAAAGGTGTTAAACCATTTCCTCCATAACTTTATTTTTTTAGCACTGCTTAGAAAGAACTAGCCTCTAGTAAAGTTTAGCTTATGTAAAACAGTAATTAAATTACTGGATGTCATAACAGATTGCAGTTCGTCAATAATGCTACACTAAGCCTTCGTGCCATCAGATGCACTTGCTGAAGGTTAGGAGAAAAGGGGGAAACCTCTGCATAAGTTATATTTAGTTGAGATATATAACTGAAGTGGCTTATCCAAGGAATCAAGACAGACCAGGCTATAGCAGCCGTGCAAACGTCATGTGGAGTACTCCTGGGTGGAGGAAGGAAAAATTCCTGAATACAACAGCCCTAATGTAAAAGCAGTTTTCAGAAGGCAAGCAACCTTTAAAAGTATCTCTTGAAGAATAATGGGAAGCCAGGAAGCAAGGCAAAATTTCTTTAGCATTCACTATTTTACTTCAGGCATATGGTCTTAAATTCCTGTTAGAAATCCTAAGAACATAATTGAAAAATATACCCAAAGTATTTTACCAATTAAGGACCCTAAGAACAATTACTAAGTAAGCATGCTTATTATCAATGCACCTTATAGCATATGTGTACTTTTTTATTGGAAATATCTAGGGAACGATTTGGAAATCTGTTCGATGAAGTAGGGCAAGTTTAGCAGACATATAAAAGGCCATGAAATGGAGACTTCAGTAAAATAATGACTTCTGGCATTTATACGGGTACCCAGCAGCTTACCAGCAAATTCACCAATGAATAGCTAATTTCACTACTCCCATTTCCCCTTTGGAAAGTCAACAGGGAAGTTAAACAGGTTTTAAACAGGGTTACCTAACATGTACCCTACATTAGAATCATTTAGCTCAAGGGAAGGCACCATTTACACGCAGAACCTAGCATAAGATATACCAGGCTTCCTCAACCTCGGCCCTCCAGATGTTTTGAGACTACAATTCCCATCATTCCTGACCTCTGGTCCTGCTAACTAGGGATCATGGGAGTTGTAGGCCAAAAACATCTGGAAGGCTGAGGCTGCCTGAGATATGCTATCAGAGCATAACTGAAATGAGACTTGTTTTCCTACTGAAGGGAATGACCAGAAAACAATCACATGGGAGGGAATAACAGGGCTCTTAGTTTGTTTCACAAAGCTACACCTTGCTTGAGTTTTATTGTGAAACTACTGAAGTCCAATTTCCTTATTCACTACTATATATTTTTAAGTTTGCTTTTCCTTAAAGCCAGTATCTGAACAACATTGTGCCCCCATTGCCTCAGCTGTTTCCCAAAATGCAGCCCAAAGCCACATATTCCACCTACTGTGAATTTGGGGCAACAAAATAAAATGGAGGAAACTAAATCAGTGAACAAGGCAAAGGAAAAAAGCAAAACTAGTTCTGTTCTAGCTCATTTACCAGCTATTTATTCCAACTGCAGGTTGTTTTGAGACAGGACAGCTTTACTGTGTGCATCTTCATAATACCACACATTAATTCTGCTATTTTAGATATAAATCCACTGATCAAATCTGACACTTTACACCATCTCAGAAAGGCAAACCAATAGTTCAGTGAATCCTAATAACAACTCTAATGCATTGATATTCATATAATAATTTTATTGAAGTCTACTAAAAGGTATTTGTTCTTAAGATCTTATCACGTGATGTTCAGAAAGCCACAATGCTGTTTCAGTTCATTGCATACATATTTTGGGAGTCTTCAGTTAAATCTTGTTCACCTTGCATTTTACAAAGTTGCCCCCACACAAGTGCTAAACATACAGGATGAGGGTTCAATTTGTTAAGACTAGTACCAAACCAAAATAAGACATTTACACGTACTGTACATTTCACAAGTAACATAAGGAGGTCTGGATAATGTAACAGTTTAGAATTATTTTGTAGCCAACACATAAAATAAAAGAAATTGACCTAGCCAATGATATTTAGTCATATTGCATGTACAAAGGCAATGAAGATTATAAGCTGCTTGGTTTTGTCATTAGCACAATAAAAACATTCAGGTTAGGGTCTGGAAAAATAGGATAACTTAATTACTTTTCTTGCACACAAAGGGAGAACAATAATTTGTCAAAGCTATGGACAGGACTTCGAATGTGTAGGTTACTTCATAAGCATATGAAGTAAGAATATCTTCTGACACTTGCATTTTCAAACCTGTTACTTTATAAGCAAGTATGTCCTTCAGTGCACAGAAAAAAGAAAAGGGAACATTACTGCTAAGGAACTTAAGTGCTGGAATAAAGTATTTTGTAACAGGAATACTCTGGAAGCACTATTCCTTGACCCTCTTTTTAAGCATTCACATGGTCAAGAACACCAACATTCTTCAGAATGTGTCAGCTCAATAGCTATGTGAAGAGGAAGATTTAAAGTAGAATGCTTATTAGCTATTTAGAGAAGCACAAAGAATGTTAATTTTATCTACAAGTGCTTCATATTTAGACAATAGCTAGTCAAAGTAATGTTTGCATAATGCTTTCTATCATAGCTATACTACAGTTTAATACTAGCAAAAAAAGCAATTTATTTTGTTTTTATATTGGGAGAAGTCTTAAATATTACACTGTGCTTCAGAACATAAAACTTGTGGTTGCCAAAAATGCTTTTTATCTGACAATTCATAAGCATTCTATGCGACAGTGGCACAAAGCTTTGTGATGAAACATGCACTTTTAGGAGTTTTTTGGATGCAATCAAATGTGCACAACTAACAATGATATTTTGAAAGGTGTTACAATTAATGTGGGAATGCCAGTAGGAGGAGCATGCAGTTGTTTCCCCATTACTTGACCTATTTACAAATCTTATCACAATGCTTTCTTCAAAAGCCGACGTGAGAACCATGTTATATGGATATGCTTTTGCGTCGTGATACTTAAAATATCCAAAACACCAACCAAACTGTCACTCAAACTACAACATATGTGACTACACTAGTTTACAAAGTCACTACTGATTGCCTAGATTCAAACACAAGACCAGGGACTTATGACTGGAAATAGGTTTGGTACAAGTCAAGACTGTTGCTTGCCATGTTTTGCAAGACAGCCCTATAGAAAATTAGCTCAAGTTTCAGAAAACGTAGAATCATAGTTTCATAATGCAAGTCAAAGTTGTTTTGCATGTCCCCCATAGTTAACCCATTTTCTCATCATCATTTATTGCCCATTGAACTGTGCAAAATATAATCTTCTCAAAGTAAGTCATCTGGTGCAAAATTTTATTCCACTACTATGTTTGGACAGGCTTAAGGTATTTATGGCTTAGACTTACTCTTTTTAACAGTGGTATTCTAGGCATGTGTTTCAAATGATATATCATTACTCAAGACCAAGAGAATAGCTTCTATCAAGACATTTGCCAACCAGTTAAAAAGTTCTCTTCCTTTCCTAAAGGGAAGACACCACAGCTACTTTGTAAATAAAAAAGTCATCAGCCCTATTTAAATTCAAATTTACAACCAAGTTACCCTCCAATGTACTGTATAGTTACTGGAGATACCTACCTATACAGATATTTACATGTGACAAAACACACAATTTTTTTTTTGCCTTGCAAGACATTGCACTGATGCATACAAAGCCTTTACTTCTCCACCAAGAAATCCCAAATTACAAGCCACTGTTCAAGCAGATAGGTTGAATAGTGCAAAGTTGTCCCAAGTTGTTCTGCTCTCGTTAGCTTAATTTGAAAACCCTTTGACCATTGCTCGATTTGTGCAAATTATACTTGTTTCAACTGTAATTCTGACGGCCAGAGATTAATCAAATAAGTTTCACTATCATGTCATGCAGTCAGTACTGGCCATTTTGTTCTGTGAAAACTTTGGTTCACATGTTTCAGTTTAAAATTTAAAACTCTTCATTTTGACATGCACCTATAACATGGGAATTAAATTGCACCACTATAATTGTGATATCATCCCGGTACATCCGAGCCAACTCTTCTGGAAGACTGAGCATCTTTGACAGCCGTTCATGATCAACGGTACCAAACTCATTATTTCCAACTGCATGGCGTATCAAGTGAGTTGCTGCATTCTGGTCTTCAAAGGCTGAAGAGACCCGCGCTCTCCTTTCTGTTAGAAGACCATGCATCTGTCCCAGAGTTACCTTGTAACCTCCAACAGCTATTGGTTCTTCATGATGAACACCTGTTAGATACTCACCTACAATTCTAACCACATCCTGCCTGTGCATGGTTTCCCACAAGCCATCTGTTGCCAATATCAGGAATTTGTCCTGAGGTCTTAATTTGTGATGTATTATCTCTGGCTCAGCTGTGAGGTATGGAGGTGTATGGTAATTTGGTGGGATGAACTTTGTATATTCGTTATCATTGAGCTGATCTGGGCCCGTCTCCACCACTCTCTTCTGAAGGTCAATGCTCCATTTAAATTTGACATCTCCAAAAGCTCTGAAAGGCATCAGTAGGCCCAACAGTCTATCTTGTTTCACAACACTCTTTTCTTCAGACTTTGGGTGCTCCATTTTGAGTCGTGCAATCTCATTTTCGTTCTGTGCATTATGATCATAAGACAGAGCAACAGCAGACCAAGATCCATCCTCTTCTTGGACACCAAGCATGGCCCTGCTGTCACCAGTATTAGCAACATGTAAATCAACTCCATCAACATGCGCCACACAAGCAGTTGCACCAGAGAAGGCTACACGTAGTACCAAATAATTGAGAAAAGAATTTGGATCGCCTACTTGAGCTTCTAAAGAAATGTCATTGTCAAGCCTTTTAAAGGCATTAATTAAAGCCTCTTTTACATCAGTTGTCTCCCCAGTGTTAAGGTCTATGAGTTCCTGCCAGTAAGTTCGTAAGCTGTTAAAATACAATTTGGAGGCTTCTTTACTGAAATAATCATTGGGATGCTTGTGCCACTGTAAGATGGGCAACAGGGCCCTACCACTCTCAACAGCATTTTCTATTTCAAGTAAAGTCTCATGGGGTAACAGAGAAACAGCTATGTAATAAAACAGTCTTTCACTGACAGCTTGTGCACAGGCACATCCTGCATGGCCATCAAACACACCAAGAAGCATTCCTCTTGTTTGCAAGCAAGTGGCTGCACTTCTTCTGTCTTCTATTGGTGCATTGGCAGGAAGCTGGTTGCTATCAAAGCCAAGGACAGAACTTAAGTTTTTGCCATCAAACTCTGGCACTTTGAAACTGTATTCATTTGCCTTCAGGATGCTGTTGACTTGTGGAGGTGTGAGGTAAAACCTCTGTGGTGTGGATACATAGTTTCTTGCATGAATAAACTGACTGAAATTCTCCTTCGGCCTACTGAGTGTTGCAAACTTCTTCGGAGGAACATACCTCAAATGATTGTGAGTTAAGTGAGGTGACAAGCAACATAGATGTTTATGATGACAGTAGCATGCGGTGTTGTATATCTTGCCAATCTCACAACTGCGAATTAATGGGAGCAATAGCTGAGTTGGTGCTGGCATGGCATCAGAGAACAATGGCAACCTGGGGTTTCTGACTGGAATTGCTGCGGGGGGAAAACACAAGCAATAAGTAAGCTTAGAAATAATTTTAAAGGAAACAATACATAACTACTTTATTCTAAATGACAATTTAATATGCACAATTAATTAACAGCAATTAACTGACAAAACAGCAACACATTTAATGAAAGTTTAATAGACTAATCTATGGCTAAATTTCCTCAAGGAGAACATATCTCAGTTCACACTGTTATACTTGTGTAGAACTATAAACAGAGTGACCTAATTTTACAGCTGTACTAACTTAACCAGAACTTTATATTGGGAGTGTGAAAAGTCAACTAAAGGTTACAGTATGAAGAACAGAGTCATAGATTGAGATTCAAGACAACTTCTTGAAGACAGTCTCCATTTCTGAACTGGCAGTGAGAAGGAGAAGTTAAGTTTATCCAGCCCAAGATTTTATTTATTCATATTGTTACTTATGTTAATTTTTCCAACGCCTCCCTCAGTTTTTACAAATTTAAGGTCAAGTGTGTACAACAATACATATATGTGCATTTGTTTAATCAAAAGGTAAGTCATACTCAGTTTAATGGGGCTTAGTTCAAAACAAGCATAGGATTACATTCTTAATATCCTATAATAAATTTGCTGCACCCCATCACCTGTCTTTTTGAAGTTTTATAACTACTAGATATTTAGGAGCTACAAAACTTCAGTCAAGGCTTCTAAACCCTTGTTTGTTTGTTGCTTTAACAAATTTGATAAATAATAATAAATCTTTACTCTGACCTCAGTCAATGATTGCTGTGGATTGCATGCAATACCATCTTTTCTTCTAAGCTATGCATTCATATAGAACACACCCTACCTATCACTACCAATCTAAGGCCAGCCCAAATTTATGAACCACAACTGAAGGCGTTCAATGAGGAGGTGGTGAAGCTACCAACAGCCGCCTCTGAAAGAAACCACATATATTATCTACTAAGTATAGTCAGGCATAATAGTTTTCCTTTTCATCCAGAAGATATTTGCTCTATTTTGCATAGTTTACTATAGGAGCTACTGTTTTTTTAAAAAAACTTTGTTTAAAGACTCATTAATTCAAGTGAGATTATTTGTTTTGATTAAGTCCAGCCTTCCAATAGAAGCTTCTGAAAGCTGGTTTAAGAAAACTATGGTGCAAATTATTACTAATATTATTATAATATTTATTCATATACCTTCTTTTCCCCAGTCAGGGACTCATTATAGGTTATTTATTATGCATAACATCCTGCTAATTTTTCACATTTGAACAAATCAACATTCTGCACAAATGTGATACTTTTGTGAAAATTACACTATTTTTTCTCTCTGTACTGCTTCACATTCACAACCCTTATTTGTAAAGATTCAAATCCTAGGAGCATGAACTACTCAGCTTAGGAGGCAACACAAATTTAAAGTAACCTTCAGAGTATGGTACTATAACCTGCAATAACAGATATTCATTATATAGTCTTCTAACCCCACTACCACCCCTCCAAATTCCTATTATAGTACTCAGAAAATAGGAGCACAAAAAATACATACCAATCCGCCTGGGCCCAGGACACACACACATTCTCCTGTCACAACAAGAAGCCGCCAACATCCACAAAGCAGTAGCCCAGGAAAAGCAAGGCAGAGAGTTTATTAAAGGAGGAGGAAGAGGTCTCCAACATTGAAGGGGGACAGAAAGACAAACAGTTTGTTTGTAGTGACAAGCATTAAGAGGCAGCAACTGCAGCACAGCCATCTCTCAGCAGCATTGTCTAATCCTACTGCAGCCCCAACTCACTGCTCGTCATCCCTCTTGCTGAACAACATAGCACTCAGTTCACGCATGATTCATCTGTCAGCCCAACCTAAAGAGCAACAAGCACACTCATCCTTTTAAAGCAGGGCTAGAGAACTTTTTTTTTTTTAAAAAAAAAAGCTAAGCACCAACTTTAGTTGATTAGAGCCACAATCAAAATTATAGGTACCAGCTCTGCATGGGACAATGTAAAATTCCCCCTTAGTTGCTACAAACTAAGGTGCTCAATATTATTCCAGCTCTGTTGGCCTAACAAACATTAGTAAACATATTAGATTCCTGCTCTGTGGAATTTAAAAGCACACATATATGCCACATTAAATATGCTCATGGGTAATCTGAAAAAGGTGCACATCATTAACAGAGAGAGGGATGGAGCCTCCCTCTACAAAGCGACCTATCCAATAGTGCTTTCCTTTTTTCTCCCATACCCCTAACTTGTTGAGGGTTTTATATACATGTACATATTTATTAGGGAACGCTTATCTAGGATATTGGTGGTGCTAAAACTATGCACAGATGATGTCTACAAGCCATACATACAGAGGGGTTCATTATAATATTCAGCTCAGCTACAAGGAATCAAACTGGTCCATAGCCAATTCAAGTGGAAGACAGGCACAACTGCAAGACCACTAGTATCTCATCAGCTATTCTATCTGCAAGGATAACTTCTTACTTTCACTATGGTGGTATCTTGACAACAAATTAAAAGAGCTTCTCATTTCTAGGAAGCCTGTGCATCCAATTATAGACCACAAGGCCTGGGAACAATTGTTGTGCTGATGAGGTCTTATTCACTGCTTAGGTTTCAAGGCAGGAGGAAATATGATTATCAAAACTGCGATGATCAATTGGTTGGACTGATTTTTTTAAATCAGTTAATGTAATAGAAATGTCCCTGAACAGCTTCTTTTAAACTATATAAAATAAATACATGCATATTTTAAATAGTACTTAATGTGAACTTAAGCAGTACTATACTCTCTCTTCAAAATGCGGGAATGCCTCTTCTGAGATGTATGCAATGCCCTTGTTCCACTGGCCCAAGGATTTATACTTGTGCAGTGGAACTTTCCTCTAGCAATCCCAAAGTCTGCTCTAGAGGGTTGTGGGAACCTCAGAACAGATTTAGAGGGCACACAAGGGGAAGGAAAGGTGCAATGGTAAATATTTGTCCTAACAGAACAAGAGACTTAAGCACTACTTTGGATACAAGCCAATGCCTGCTCTGATACCAATCTAAAGATAAACAATGTCTGCTTCTTACTTCCGAACTATAATTCTTTACATCTCAATTAAATTTGCATATGGGCCATCAGCCAGGATTTAGCAATGGCTCTAGTTGTGACATCTAGAAGCACATCAAGTGAGACCCTTTGCCTATCTTCTTCAATACAGCGAAAGAACAGCAACAGTCCTCCAAGGTTTCAGAAAAAAAGCAGCCTTCCCCAACCCTACCTGCAGACTAAGACTTCCACATGTAAAGAATGTGCTCCATTGCTAAACCTCCCTCCCTCGTGTCTTGTGCGCAGGTCACGATTTAAGAGACCACAGATGCTTCCATCAACAAGACGACCCCAGTGCTGCTTCTTTCTTCTTTAGCAACTTGAAAGGGACACACTGGTTGGGGAAGACGCAGCTCTCTGGATGTTGCCAGGAATTCCCACTCCTGGCCAACCAAGGCCATGGGAAGAAGGCAGGCAGGGATTTCAGCCTTGCAAGTATCCCGAGGGCCGCAGTTCCCCTGCCTTAGCTGAAAAAGGGTGTACCTCGCCTCGTCTGCCCATTGCGCCTTTCTGGCCAGCTGGGAAGTGCAGCCTGGATCATACACGTGGGAAGGGAGATAACGGGTTAACTTCGGGTTGTTGTTTTTTAAAAACCTAGAATTTGATTACATATTGGAGGAAATTGGGCTGCCTCTCCCTGCCCCGCCCCCCCCCAAATCAAAATAAACCTCAACACCAGCAAGGAATCTCGGCCTCCCTCCCTCGCGGGCATCCTTTTCGGTAGCTGGGCGGCACCTGCCACAAGAGCAGCCTCACAGCCACCACAACCATCTCCTCCTCACCTCCACCTACTCGGCGGCCCCAGGTATCGCCTCAGGCCGAAAGGCAAGAGCTGACACCTAACCCTCCCCTGCCTTTCCTTCATTCTCTCACACACCCACCGGCAGACAAACGCCCCGCTCCGCCCCAGGGCCTGTGTCAAGACCACAGTCAAGACAGACACAGACACACACACACACACACGCAACATACCCTCCTCAGAGAGACTGACCTGGTCAGCTTTAGGGTCGGGGCCCCGCTCGGGCAGCGGGAAACGGAGAGAGCGGGGAAGTTTGACACCCACCCCGCCTCTTGTCTGTCAGGCCCCCTCAGCGACGGCCGCGCGCCAGGTGGAACTCGCCGTCGCCGCCCCGCCCTTCCTCACCCACCCCCTTTTTCCCCTTTATCCCGCCGCCGGCAAGCGAGAGCGCGCCCCCGTGTGCGCGCGCCCACCGCGTTCCCTCAGCAGCAGCAACGGCAGCAGCGCCGAACGCCCAGCCCGCCGCGTGACAGCTTCCCTTGTGTCGTGGGCGGGTTTTTCCCCCCCTTTCTCCTTTTTTGTGACGAGCCGCGGCTTATAAAAGCCTCCGTTCGGCCGGGCTCCGAAGCGCCTATTGGCTGACGGGCGACTCTCACGTGAGCCTCTATCGTTCAGCTTCCCCCGCCCCGCCCCTCCTCTTTCTTACACCCCCCCCCCGCTCTTTTTCTCTCTCCTTTTTTCTTATATCAACGGTTTCCTTACCGGCGGAAGGATTTCACATTCTCGTCTTCTTCGGCCTGCCTTGTTCCATTGGTGGGTCAAGATCTTGCTGAAGCCGCCTCCGCGGATGAGTTCCTCCTCGTTCTTCTTAGCGCATTTCTCCTGGCTCTGTTAGACGCAAAGAGGCTGAGAGAAAAAGGGCGGGCTCGCAAGAAGAGGCTGCGCTTTGCCGGAGGAGGAGGGGGAGGAGTTTCTCCGAGCCGGGCCCGCCTTTCCTTCCTCCTGGCCTATCGGGGCTCTTGGCGGAGGAAGGGCGTGGCCCGCATTCCTCCTGAGGAAAGGCGAGAGCGCGCGCGCAGGGGGGGTGGGCGCTGTTAAAAAACCTCGCATGGGCGAAATAAACGGTCGCATTTCCTTCTTCCGCCGCCTGGTGCTTAGCGTCCAGCAAGGTCACTTTCAAAGCTTTTGTTCCCCGTTCTGTATACATACATTGAAAAAGGGTGGTCATAAAGATGAGTGCCAACAGTGCCCGTATCCTGAAGTGTCTTTCCTTGGAAGAAATCATCACCGACTGCGGGTACAAATCCTCATTTATTTTAGTTTTAGGGGTGCCAACTTGGAATAAAATATTCGGGTGGGGTGGGTCAGGTAAGCCCTGTCCCGCATAATCGATCACAAGACATGGCACATGCGCACCATTGGAATGACAGTGCCCATCAACTTTTTTGGGGGGGAGGGTTCTGACCCCCTCAAATATTTTATTGGGGGGAGAGAAGGGACCTCGGCCCCTAGGAATTGACTCCTGTGTTTTAGTTTGTATGCTCATCTCCAGGGAGAGGAGGGGGCTGTGTGAGGGAACACGCGCCCCCCCCACTTTTATCTTTACAGCAACCCTGTGAGGTAGATTAGGCTGAGAGAGAGTGTAAAATGGGTTATGGCCGGCCGCCACTGATGGATGGGGTTGGGCGATGTGGCCTGCTAGGCAATGATTTGCTGGAGAATCAGCCACGGGAAGAGTTAAGCATTAGGAATTGCAATCTTCCCCCCTTATCTTTCCCGGTCATAAAAGGCTTATAAAAAAGGGAGGAGCCTCCCCTCCTCTTCTTGGGTAGATGGGGATGGAAAAAGCTCTGCTGCCCCCTGGTCCTAGCCCAGCACTAGGCAAACAGAGACAGGTCTCTGCCCGCAAAGAGCTTACATTCTAGAATAATTGAAGAGGGGAAGAAGTGTTGAATGCAACTATCCTCTCTACCGTTGGTGAACTCAACCCCATGAACATAAAAAAAATGGCACTATCCAGCAGAAAGGTGTCAACAGACAGGTTTGCAGGAGTCCATAAAAGCTTGAGGGACCCTTAAGGGGTGGACCCCAGAACAGAATAAGGAGAGCTGAGTGTGCTCCTTGGTCACAAAATGGTTTGAGGAGATGAAATGGCAGTCTCCTGAAAGAAGGCTTGGCTAGTGCTAGCAAGCTGGACCTCTTGATAGGAGCACTCTTCACAAGTTTTGTTTGTTGCAGGTCCCCACTTGTGTGTACTGTTTTCCATTTAAAACGAATGTAGCTGATGTGTAAAAAGGAATTATAATCTGAACATGGAGACGATGTATGTACTTCTGTAACCCAAGAAAACCTTTAATAAAAACAAATAATAATCACACACAATGAATAGACAAGTGCACTTGGTGATGCAGTTCCAGAATTCAAAGTAATGTGATCCTGCTTTGACCTCGTTTTCCCTCGAGGATTACCTCATTTTCCCTTGACCTACCTATCCACTTATCAGGCAAGAGGCTTTGCACCTTTTAATAACTGCATCATAAAATCAAGACATGAGGATCAATAGCTCAGACTTCTCCCATTGCTGCATCTCTATGCTGCAAAAAGTTCCCCTTCTTTGATTTCTGCTTGTTACATGGTTGTTAGAGTAGCATTACATTTTTTAAAAAGTCAGTCTGGTCTCCATGCAGAATCAAAGCGACACCAAATTAGAGAAACAGAGGGTGAGGTGGAGATACAATATGATTGATAGTTCTATTTATTACCCATTCTTTCAAGCAGCTCAGTCAGGGTAACTTTGGTCGCCTGTCCAGACACTGCTGCTCAGAAGCAGACTCCCTTCAATTCAACAAATTAAATTTGCATGCCTTGGGAGTGATCCCTGATGACCAATGTTTGCACCATCTGTGCACCTGTGGCGTTTTGCAAGGAACATGTTCCTACCCCACTGGACTTAATCAAAATAGATGCAGAAACAACAGAGAAAGGGGGGGAGGGCAACATGTGGAGCAAAGAAACAAATGTGTGGTTATGAAAGTATAATTAAGATAAGGCTGTAACACTTGGATTTTAAAATCACATTGATTTCAATGAAGATAACTTTTCAAATTACATCATACAACAGCCTTTATGAAAGTTTTTAAATGTGTTTTGCAACTGCAATGCGCATGTTTTAGTTAGCAGTCATTTAGAAGTCCAATCAGGACTCCTGCTGAGCCTAATTAGGATTGGAAGTTCTCGACCCCTGCTCTAGACCATTGATCTTCAACTGGGGGGGGGGGGGTCAAGACTCATACTGGGTTGGCATGACAGTCTGAGGTCAGTAACCACAGTGGCATTCCCACCAATTTCTTATGTTTGTTTAAGAGGGGAGGGGTGTGTGTGACCAGATGTAAAGGGGGATGGATCACTTGTATCTTTGATAGTTGTGTATAAAAGGGAAATTTCAGCGCTTGCAGCTTCTCACCATTTCACTGCAACTAGCAACATTCCGCCTACAATGCAACTCTGAAAGGTACAGAAGCCCTGCTCTTGCCTGTAGAAAAAGAAGGAAGGTAGATGTATATGGTTAAGAAAAAAACAAAGTGGGTCTCATGTTGCAGGTTGTAGTTAAAAGTGGACCCTATATCTCAAACTGTTGAATGCTGCTGCTTTAGAACCGTGGCTGGTGCTGTTTTTAATCTCCAATTTGTTCAGAGGGCAGAACTATTAATAGCATTAGCTACTGACTTGTGCTGCTGGTCTGCAAATAACTTGGTAAAATGAGGTGAGGGGGAGACTTTTTAAAAACAAAGTATTGTTCACCTGAGATAGCAGCCCTCTGCTTAATGTTGCCTCGTTGATTCACCATTTTTCTGTCATCCCTGAAAGTTTACAAGTGTCTTGACTGAGTGTAGTTTACCTTGATGTGACCTGATGGTCAGTTGGTTTGCGTTTAGTCTGCTCGTACTATGTTTAGAATGGCAGAATGCCTGTGAAAAAAAAAGCTGTGTAGGCCTTCAGTTTAGTCCACTGGGGAGTCAGCAAAATATTTTTGGTGGTTGTGGCATATTTATATGGCAGCAATATAAAGTAGTACTGCTGCTCCTGAATTTATTTTGCAAAATTTACTTCCCCCATGGTTGTAACTGGTCCCTGTTTGTGCTGCAGTGAAGCATTGCTATAGAATCCTTACTACACTGATATAATGGGAGCAGAAGCCCCCCCCAACCCCCCTTGTATGACATCTAAAGGCTTTCTTGGAGGCAGGTTGAAACATGCACAAACAAGAAACAATCATTATTTCCTGGCAAAGATGGCAGACTTTGCCTTTTCCTGCATGCCCAGAGTTGGGTGAATTCATTCATTCATTTCTCTTTCACACCTTCAAGGACAGATCCCTGTTTAATACCACTGTTACATAAATAACAAGTGCTGCAATTTGTGGCTTTGATCTTCAAGCTGCTAACCTCATCTGGAATAATTAACCCATCTAATGTGACTACTTTGGAGTAAGTCACTTAACATTGGCACAATGCTCTATATAGACCACCCTTTTTCAAAAGACCCGAGGATAGTTTACAAAAAGCAAGGCAATAAAAATACAACAATATCATTACAGTGGTACCTCGGGTTAAGTACTTAATTCGTTCCGGAGGTTCGTTCTTAACCTGAAACTGTTCTTAACCTGAAGCACCACTTTAGCTAATGGGGCCTGCTGCTGCTGCCACGCCACCGGAGCACGATTTCTGTTCTCATCCTGAAGTAAAGTTCTTAACCCGAGGTACTATTTCTGGGTTAGCGGAGTCTGTAACCTGAAGCGTATGTAACCCAAGGTCCCACTGTACATCCAATAAAACAGCAAAACATTAAACCCAACATTTCCCACTTCATAGCAACAACACAGTACTGTACCTGGTAAATCAATATAGATGGCATGGCACAAACATTAAGATATCCTAAAGACCTGGGTGAAGAAATGTGTCTTTAATTAATAACAGAAAACTCACGGGGCTTAAGTTAATGTACGGGATTCTCCCTCTCACCATTTTATTCTTACAACAACTCTGTGAGGTAGGTTAGGCCGAGAGTGAGTGAGTGAGTGGCCCAAGGTCACTCAGCAAGCTTGTCCCCTCCAGATGCTGGACTGTGACTCCTAACATCCTTGGGACCTGGGACAGCTCAGTCTGTAGAGCATGGGATTTTCAATCTCAGGTTCATGGTTTCGAACCCCACACTGGGCAAAAGATTCCTGCATTGCAGGGGGTTGGATTAGATGATCCTCAAGGTTCCTTCCAACACTATGATTCTATAATCATTTATGCTTGCTGGGGCTAGTGGGAGGGAGAGTCCCACAATGTTTGGAAAACAACCGGTTCCTCACTCCTGCCTCATAAACTTACTGTCATAGTTATTAATATATCCTAAATTCAATTTTAGTAATAAAGGTAAAGGCAAAGGGACCCCTGACCATTAGGTCCAGTCGTGGCCGACTCTGGGGTTGCGGCGCTCATCTCGATTTATTGGCCAAGGGAGCCGGCGTACAGCTTCCGGGTCATGTGGCCAGCATGACTAAGCCGCTTCTGCCGAACCAGAGCAGTGCACGGAAACGCCGTTTACCTTCCCGCCGGAGCGGTACCTATTTATCTACTTGCACTTTGATGTGCTTTCGAACTGCTAGGTTGGCAGGAGCTGGGACCGAGCAAAGGGAGCTCACCCCGTCGCGGGGATCCGAACTGCCGACATTCTGATTGGCAAGTCCTAGGCTCTGTGGTTTAACCCACAGCGCCACCCGCATCCCTTAATTTTAGTAATAGCAGCCAGTAATTAGATAATAAACCCCCTACCTACAGATTCATTATCTTAAACAAAAAAACCACTCAACAACAGCAACACAAAGCAACCTGTGGTTTTAGTAAGTAGGAAAAGCCCGTGTGCAGGAATGGGGCACCCATGGCTCTCCCAGGTGTTGTACTTCAACTGCCATCATCCCTGAACCCTGACCATCGGCTGTCAGGCTGGGTCTTCTGCAAGGTGGGCTCCAACAACAGGTTCTTCACCCCTGTCCTAGATTATGTAGAACTGAATTTGCGTTTGAGGGATTTAAACTGGCAAGGCAGCTTGGTGTCCCTAGAACTCAATGCACTCTCCATAGTTGCCTCGCTGAGTCTTTGGGGCTTCTTAAGAATTGTTTGCGTGGTATAAACAGCCACCAGCTATACCATAGATAGATCAGTGGAGCTGGCAGGGGCTGATGGGAGTTGGAGTCCAACAACGTCCAGAGAACCACACAGGCTCCTCTCTCCTGAGTTAAAGGCTGGCAGCTGAAATTAAATAAAGGGAAACAACCCATAGGTCCTAATAGACAATTATTATTTTCTTTTTTGTGAATTACTAGTTCGGGCAGTCATAGGGTGGTTTGTGGGAGTTTTGCTGGGACATACTAATTTTACTTGGCCTCATTTTCTTCGGTTTGAGTTGATATTATATAATCAGAGTTATTTTAAAGCCTGTTCCCCCGAGATGCCCGGAGCTCAGTTGAGGCCACCTGTTCTAACTGTGTGCTCTGAGAACCGACTGAGCAACACGTCGATCACAGCTGCCGTTTGTCATTCTCCAGGCGCCAGAGCCATCCAGGTTACTCAGTTTCAATCACACATGGGTGGTTGGAAGCCATATAAGCAGCACTTTCTCCTGCCTTTGCATTCATCCTTTTCCTCTTTTTCTTTTTGCATAGCCTGCCTCACCTTTCAGTGCCCACAAGAGCCCACCTGAAACTCTTATAAGAAAAGCCACCCAAGCTTGTGTGCTGCAGAGGTCATGAAAATGTGTTATTTTCAAAACGTGGCCTGTTCTGGGTGCCGGCCAGGTTAGGATATATGAGACTAGCAGCAAAATATATTTGTGTTTAAGTTTCAGATGGGTTGGCACAGACCAAGGAATTCCTACTGGCCTACAGCACCCAGCAGCAAGTACAGTGGTACCTCTGGTTACGTACTTAATTCGTTCCGGAGGTCCGTTCTTAACCTGAAACTGTTCTAAACCTGAAGCACCACTTTAGCTAATGGGGCCTCCTGCTGCTGCCGTGCCGCCGGAGCACGATTTCTGTTCTCACCCTGAAGCAAAGTTCTTAACCTGAGGCACTATTTCTGGGTTAGCGGAGTCTGTAACCTGAAGCGTATGTAACCTGAAGCGTATGTAACCTGAGGTACCACTGTACCTCATTAAAGGAAAAAACAAAAAAAATCAAGTGATTTACATAGAACTGGAAAGCCAAAATATTTCAGTGTAGATATAGTATACTGTAGTCTGTGGAAAGCTCTCCACTGGTAAGTTCGCCTGGCGCCTTCATTATACACCTTTAGGCACCAGGCAAAAATGTTCCTTTTTAACCAGGCCTTTGACCTAATCAACATCCCATACTCTTTTAAAATGTGGCTCTTTTTGGGGGGAGGTATTATTGGGTTATTGCTTTTATTTTAATTTTATATACTGTGATCTTTTTATGTGAACCGCCCTGAGACCTCTGGATATAGAGTGGTATATAAATAATAATAATAATAATAATAATATAGCAACTTGAACAATCACATGTCAGTTTACCCAGAACAAAGTAGGGATTGGAGAATCTGTCAATAATTTTGGTTTCTCCTAGTCCCCCCCCCTTTTAAGTTCAGTTCTACCCATTTCCACATCTGTTTGAAGCAGGGTTTTTAAAATTTTTATTTAAATATGACTGTGTTTCAGTTCACTTATTGTTTTGGAAAATACAAATGTGGCATTTTCTCCTTTAAACATGAACTGAGTTAAATTTCTTCCCCATCCTTCCTCCTTATGACTTGGGAAACTATGGTTGTATTAACGCAGCCTACAACCACGCCAGCCTTTTCTGCAGCTGCAACACACACACTGCTGACGAATATTTAGCTTGAGATCAACCACAGTCCTATTTTACCAATATAAGATGTAATAACAAAAACATAACCAAGCAATGGTTAGAGAAGGAAGTTTCTGCAGATCAGCAGTGGGGACCCTGTGGCTCTTCACACAGAGGCGACCCGAGCTACCGCGCATGGGGGGGCAGGGCGAGACCCCCGCAGTGTGCCTTTTTGTTACCCCCCTCAGGGAAGACACCCGGGGTGCACCACCCTCACCGCCCCCCCTTCCTACGCCCGTCTCCATATATTGTTGGACTCTAATTCCTTTAGCCACAACCAGCATGGAAGGGTCAAATAGACTCTCTCATTTTGTTGAACTGTATCAAGTTTTTTCTTAAAAATGAAACCAGTCAGCCCCCTATCTTTTTACATATTTGATGATAACCCACCACAGGGAAGACAATATACTTAAAATTCTGAATGCCTGGCATCTGTAAACAATATCCTAAGCCTATTTCATGTTATCTTATTTACATTCCTGTGTCCAGACAACCCATGTTTGGGTTAGCAGGATATTGCACGCAGGATTTGAGATAGAGCTACGAGCAAAGGTTGCTTAATGTTCCTAACTATATTCTTGGCTCCAGGGCAGAAATCTTAGAAGGAAGGAACTGGGAGAAGATAAGAAGAAACTGGGTCATCATGACTCTGTCTTGAATACAAAAAAGATAGCAAGCAGCGAAGCTACTCATTTATGTCATTAGACAAGATATGAGACCTTTATTTTAGTACTGTTGAAATGTTAGTGTTCTTCCTCTGAACAGCAGAATGAATGCTCTGAACCTTTTCCTTCTTAAACATATTTTATATTTTCCATCAAATAATATAGAAAATATACAAAAAGTATTTCCAAGACAGGAAAACCTCTATATAAATAGAGGTTATTCGGTTGTTGTTGTTGTTGCTTTATTTTGATTATGTACTTTGTGGTTTCATATTCTGATTTTATTCTGTGAGGCACCTGAGACCTGCAGATATAGGGCTGTATATAAATTCAATTAGTAATAATAATAAAACTTCAAATTATACATTCTCTTCCAAAATCCCACAAAAGGGGACATTTGGTCCAAGTCTTGGAGCATTGTCTGCCTTGTAAACATTGTAATCGAACACATTCTCAGCTCAGATCTCAGCCACCTTTTAAAGGAAAGAGTAGTAGGATGACCTAATTTTTTTAATTGTCAACATTCTTGCTGTCATTGTTTGGTTTCAAAGTAACTCACAATGCTCTTGATACATTAACTGGACAGTATTAAAAGAGGATATGAAGCTACCATTAGGCTTATTGTGTGCACAATTTTGCTTCTCCTTGGTAGGTGGTTCTCCAACACATGGGAAAATAAACACATTTTGAGTTTTAGATAAATTTCCTTTGAGAGAAGAGAGCACGGATGGGCTCTTCCTTTATAAATACCTGCTTACTTACAAATGTACAGTCTGAGCCGGAACATAGATGCAAGCATACAAGTAGTCCCCTAAAGGCACAGCAACAAGAAGCAGGTTCAAAACTGCCTCCCAGATTTGCTACTTGATGCAGCTGTCTCACATTGCCTGATGCTTAGAAAGCATCACTGCCCAAGCCCCAGAAAGTCTTAATCCATTACATGTCCTTGAAGACAGTTCAGCACTTGCTGTATTTATTTACTCAGCAAACAGCCTCTCCACTGATTTCAAAGCCAATGGGATGTTTGTTCTTTCTGTTAAAGATATATATTAGGGAAACAATTGCTTTGCAATACAGCGCTGTTTGAAAATGTATCTCAGCAGGTGAAGATTGTTAATGGCGGTTTCTACACTGTGTGGTGCCATTAAGTGTTCATGCCCATGTGCTCTTCTGTTTGTGTACTAGAGACAATTTATTTGCATCCAGAGATTTAACTTCTAGAAAGAGAGCTGAATGCTGAAGAAGGAGAATGCCAGCACCTCACGCTAACAAAATACTGACATCTCCAAAAGACTAGTGGTTAAACCAGGAGTTAGGGACTGTTGGGCTTAATGCCTTTTGTCTAAATAGGGCAGGGATTGGGGAGCCAGTGGCCCTACATGTGTTGTTGGACTCCAACTCCCATTAGCCTCAATGGCCAATGGTTAGGGATGATGGGAGTTGTAGTCCAGGAACATCTGGAGGGGCGTAGATTTCCCCATGTCTGGAACAGGGTGACCTGATTGAAATCAAGGACAAGGCATAAAACCAAGGGTCAAAAACCCCTTGGGGCCCATGGGGTAATTTCCAAACCAGAGAAAATGTTGAGGACACCTTGCACACATACGCACACACCTACTGCAACAATGGAAGGTCGCTCACTCCCCCCCCTGGGCAATGGCACAGGAAAGGGGGAGTGAGGTATAAACATGCAAGGAGAACAGCAGCAAGGAGAACAGCAACTAGCAGTGCTACACAGTAGATGGCTGGGTAGGGATTGGAGGAAATTTGTGCTTGAAATCCTGGAGAGCTGCTGCCAGTGAGTGTGTACAATATTGAGTTAGGTACACCAATGGTCTGAATCAGTACAGAGTTTCCTATGTTCCCATCATCTATCACCCTTTTTGATTATATTGTTTTAAAACCATGGAGACCATCTGACATTTGCATTTGTTTCAGTCACTTCGAGTCCAGTAGGTTCATCCTAAACCAGTCGCCATAGAAGAGAACTAAAAGGCTTGCAAACCATTTTTGTTGGTTCAGCCTCAAAATTAGACATAAAGAGGTGATGATGGTATCTCAAAATCGCCCTTATCCATTGCACTTGTTCCCCCCACCAGAATAAGGATTTAACCGCTGTGCCCTGTGCTCTTGTAAACCAGACTATTGCAATGTACTTTGATTGGGGTTGACCTTGAAGAGTGCTTGAAAGTACCAGCTGCTGCAGGATTTGGCAGCTCACTGCTAGATGGGCATGGGCTGCCAGACTTAGTTAAGATTTATTTTTAAACTGCATTATTTCACTTCTGGACACTCTTCAAGGGGCTGGCTTTGACCTATAATGTTCTGGGACATGTAAATTGTAGGGAATTTCTCTTCCTGTGCAAACTGTCCTGAAACCTCTTTAGATTCACTGAGGAAGCTTTGCTTTGGGTTCATGTTTGCACCATCTCACATCTCTGAAACTTGTCAGTCTTGAGATTTTAACGAGTGAACATTTCAAGACAGGCATTTAGTGACCTGATTTGATGGTTTCCCCCTATTATTATTTCATGGTATTGAAGCCTTCCTCACTTTGTTGCATTTTTAATTTTATGTAATTATAAGCTCAACTGATTTTAAGAAGGGCAAGCGGGGTGTGGGGGAGAAAGGAGCAGTTTTTTTTGTTTTGTTTTCAGAGGATCTTGCTACAGTGGATTGGCTCAGACAAGATCACTTACAGGTCATTTTCAACACACTGATCCCAAGGCATAAATATGCCACCCATTTCTTCTTTTTAAATAATGGTGAAAAAGTATTCAATATTTTCTAAACAATTTATAACTAAGTGTTCTTTATATGAACTTTTAAGCATATGTTGTAGTGGCATTTGCCAGAGAGATGTCGTTTTCCAAGGGCTCCAAGCCTAGTATGCATGGCATTCTGAATTTAATCTACTTGATGACTCAGACACTACAAGGCACAGGCAGGAACTCTGCTGCAGTGGAAATGCTCATTTCCTCAATTACTCATAAGTAAAATATGTTGGGAGCACAGCCTAGGAAACGTATTAGGAATGTGAAGTTTACTCTGCCAGAATTATTTTAAAGAGGCACTGAACATTTTATACTGAATGGGAAAAAGGAAAGAGCCAGTTGTTATAGTAAGGATGCACACAGAAGCAACGTGAGGAATTGATTGACATGCAGTCTGATGGAGGCTGCTTGCGTGAGGTGCCTCTTGGTGTGCTTTCTAAAATTCTCACCTTGCTCTTGCAACGGCTTCAAGGCAGGGGGAGAAATTCAAGGGGACATCTTCACAGCTGCTAGCAAATAAAAAGCAACCCTACATAATTTTTTTAAAAAGATACAGCTTGTATAGACCGATGCATGCTGTCCCACATGACAAAAATTAAAATGGGCCGAACTCTTTGGAAACCCAATTCTGTAATCTGAACACACTTTAACGGTGCATGTGTAAATATTGCCACCATAAATTCAGTTCACCAGATTTCAATGAGTTTGCATTTTAGTGTGCATTGCTGCAGAAAGTCTGCAGAAAGTTCTGAGAGTCACTGGTTGTAATATTCTCTTTCTGTTAGGTCAGACATGTCCTGTTTCTAGCCCTTGACTCCTGCAGTGGAGGCCTGTTTTGTTGCCCAAGCCACATCTACTGTTTAATTAGATCAGCACATTTTTATACTTGTCAGCATTTTTTCTTCTGTGGAAGGTGAAACCCTGTACTCCTTCACCTAATGGATCAGCAAAACTGTCAGCTAAAAAGCCAAAATTCCAGAATCCTTTTGTTGACAGTACATGAAGCCGATTGGGAAAATACACACAACATTCTTGTTTATACGAAATACAGGAACAGTAGCTAGTCAGTCATGGATATATGAACTGTGTTTTTCCACTTCAAAGCTGTTTTTAAGAGACCTCCTGATTTATTCCATCTGTGGTTCAAGCCCAATAACAATAAGAGAGAGAGAGAGTGATGAGGGCTGTCCCACACAGGATTAATTTCTTCTGTCATTAAAACCTGAAATCAGGAAGTGCTTCAAATGCTCCTCTTACAAACTGGGCAAGAGCAAGGCTTCTCTTGAACTTTATGAAATCACACCTACCTCTGAAACTCTGAAAGCACAGGAACTGAGTATCTACATGCAGTTTGCTTCAGTGCCCCCTGTACTCAATCCAGCAAATTCATTGTACACAAGAACCTGAATCCTCTACCTTTTGATCATTTTCTCCATACACATCCAGCTCCTACCCACAAATCTTAAAACACTGCACAAGAGATGTACACATACAGTGGTACCTTGGGTTACATATGCTTCAGGTTACATACGCTTCAGGTTACAGACTCCGCTAACCCAGAAATATTACCTCGGGTTAAGAACTTTGCTTCAGGATGAGAACAGAAATCGTGCAGTGGCGGTGCAGCGGCAGCAGGAGGCCCCATTAGCTAAAGTGGTGCTTCAGGGTAAGAACAGTTTCAGGTTAAGAACGGACCTCCAGAACGAATTAAGTTTTTAACCCGAGGTACCACTGTACACATAAAATATCTGCAAAAGTAATGCATGGGTTCAGCTTTAATACTGACAGTGACATCTTTCTGTATCTTGGCATCCCTTTTAAGGCATGTGAATAATCACTATCCATTACAAGTACAAATTTATTTAATCCAAAACAGCAGTTTTCAAGTACACAATATGAAAGAAAGATTCTACACATGAATATTTACAAAGTACTGCAAGCAAATCCTTTGTGTATGTGTGTCATTTTAAAGCCGTAATTAGTTCCCAGAAAGTCTTTTCATATAAGAAATCTTTCATCCACCAAAGTTTTAGATGCCAAATTCTTCTGTCCAACTGTATTACGAATGAACCTAAAAATCTGCAAAGATAAAACCAACTTCAGATGTTATGGCATAAATTGTACAAAATACTCAATGTGTAGCAGCAAATCCTTATTTGACAGGATGTTAAGCTAATGCTAGATGCTCTTTAATCTCATCTAAGGTTACTGTCTTAGATTTGTCAAGTATGATCAATCCAAGTTAAGCACCTCACATAATAAACAGTAACTGGAAAAGGCTGAAAATAAGACTTCTTGTTTGGTCACCCCAACAGTAACCTGAAAGCAAGCTGCTTTTCATAGTGAGGGGGCTGTTTACAATTTATTTCCAGACCACTCTTCTAAAAAAGAAACCACAAATTTAGTATAACAGAGCTTGTTATCAATTTCAAAACTGTGCTGTCAACTTCAAACATCTTTATTATGGGAAGATCTTCATAAAGATCATCCAGTTAATGTTACAATAGAGATGTGCGACAAAAACCAACCAACCAACCAACCAACCAACCAACCAGTGTTTCTATGGTTTTATTGTTACTTTGGTGTTCGTTGTCAAGGGAGCCTAGAAGAGATGCATCAAAGTGGGGCTACTCTTTGGCCTGGTCTGAGGCTCCAGCTGGTGCAAAACATTGTGACTAGACTTTTGATGGGGACAGAATATGGTCAGTGCATAATTCCATTCCTCAAAGCTTGCACTTGTTGCCCATAAGCTAGTGGTTCAGTTCAAAGTTTGTGCATTAATTCACAAGGCCCTGAACAACTTGGGTCCAGAATACCTACTCCCTTATACAGTGGAACCTCTACTCATGACCACAATCCATTCCAGAGGCCTGTCCTTATGGCAAAATGGGTCGCTGGGAGAGGCGCCGATGTGCGCATGCACGGGCAGCGATTGCCCGCGCCTGCTCATGTGCGAATGGCGGCAAACCTGCCGGTTACTCCTGGGTTTGCCCTGGTCGCAACTTGGAACGTCTGCAAGTGGAGGTGGTTGAAAGTAGAGGTTCTACTATATCCATATTTAGTCACAGAGGTCTTCAGGGGAGTCACTGTTAGTGGTTCCTCCACAGCTCAGATGCATGGTTCGTATTCAAGAGGAATGGTGTGTTCAATATTGGTGGCCCAATTTTGTGGAACTCCCTTCTGGTTGAGGTCAGACAGCCCCCCCCATTGAACTTCTTAAGGTTTTTGTTTTTAAATTCCAGTAGGCATTTTAATTGAAACCTGATTTTATAGTTTTATTGATTTTTACATTTTCTGTATTGTATTGCTTATACACACCACTTAGAGGTTGTCATAGCTAAACAGTATAAATGAAGGGAAAAAACCCCCAGCTTTATGACTGACCATTGTGCAGTATGTACTGTATGCCCCAGTGGTAGATGATGGGGGCCTCAGCATGATCTCATCACCAGAAATGAAGAGAAACAGCCACCAATCGTAGCAAATGCTCCCTTTCATTTGAGTCTGCCTGCAGGCAGTATGCAAGAGGCCTGCCAAGGCTAGAACTGGTTGCAGTGCCAGCACTGAATTGTGTTCTCGTACTGAGATTGGGGCTCAGTTTTATAAACTGTTTTGTCTAGTCAGGCTAATGGGCCTGATATCCTTTCGAAATTTGGAAACTAACATGTTTAGGAATCAAAGTTTTGAAAATCCTAGAGGCCATGTGGTAAAGCATTTTAAGAGTCAGTAGGAACTACAGCAGACATGCACCTTTGTTGTTTGAACAATGCAGATTTTATTGGAAAGTGGGGCAGTACTAGACAGTTCTGCACTAATTGCCAGTTTGCACTAATTGACGAGCAGAGGGTGATGTTTGCAAAAGCCCAACTGAACTTACAATATCTGCTAGCACAGTACTTGAAGCAAGAAGTGGCATGACGAGATTCTAAAAATATCCTTCCTTGGGAGAGATAAATTAGCCGGGATGATAGGCCTGATACACACATACATTCTATTTGGCATATATTAGACTTCAATGGGAAAGGTCATTAAATTTTACCATAGACCCTTTCCCTTTCTTTTCCAATGTATTTTGGGTTGGATGCAGGTTTGCAGTGAGTAGAGTTCTGCTTACATGAGATTTCACTGGAGGAAGGGAGGGGGAGAGATGATTTTTGCTCATTTCTCCTTTCCCCTATATGCCCTGAAAAACAGCTCTGGAGGGTTGGGAGATATTTGGGAGCCGCTTGGGAGGTGGTGGTTGTGTGTGTGTGTGGGGGGGGGGACAGTAAAAAACATCTCTCCTACACTGCCTCCAGTAGAAACTTCCATAGCATTGGAGTCCTGTTTTGTTCCAGTGATATCCCGTTTTATCACTACCCTAAGGAGTCTCAAAGCGGCTAACAATCTCCTTTCCCTTCCTCCCCCACAACAAAAACACTGAGGTGAGTGGGGCTGAGAGGCTTCAGAGAGAAGTGTGACTAGCCCAAGGCCACCCAGCAGCTGCATGTGGAGGAGCGGGGACGCAAACCTGGTTCACCAGATTACGAGTCCACTGCTCTTAACCACTACACCACACTGGCTCTTAGGACTGCACGTTTGCAGACCTGTTTTGCTTTTTTAACAGTGCCTAGCAATCTTAGGAATAAACAAACAAACAATTATCTGTGATGTCTAATAATACATTTTGTAGATAACTGAGAATACAAACTACTATATGCTATCATTTAAAAAACAACAACATTCTCTACTCCATTCCAATAAAGAGGCTTACCTCTTGTTGCAAATACGTCAGGACAGCTGCTAAAACAAAACTTTGGGTGGCCATATCCACGATGGTGAAAAACAGCATGTCGAAGATGAGAAGTGTGGCTTCATTGCCATAATATAGCACATCACTGAAAGAATGTCCTTCATCTGCAAATAAGGAAACAACCTGTTGAAAAACATGTATAATATCTGCATCAAAAAAGCGGTACAATGGGAGAAAAGCTTCTAGAGAATGGATAAAAACAACAAAAGTAAACTGAAACAAAAAGTTAGAAACATAATAATCTGCAATAGATACAGTTATTTCATCCCTTTACCGAGAAAGCTGCAACAACTTAATTTTATAAAATGACTTTGTATTGTATGACATCCCGTTGTGCACAGAGGTCCGTTAAGTGCTTACTGTTTAAAAATCAGAAGCAGATTACCAAGACTCATTCTGAACATTCTTACTGATCTCTCTGAGTATATTTTATTATATAACTTAGAACAACAAAAAAACAACTCCACCTCAAAATCATATGTTTTAAAGATACCAAATCCAGCATGACTAAAACATGAGCTATGCACATAAATTTCAAAATTATAGGACTAAGAATTTAGCAACCAATAAATGCCATCTAAACTTTATGGTGTCATTATCAACTACTGTTATCTGGTAACCCTTAGTTATCTGGCCAATGTAACTCTCTCAGGAACTTCTACCAGAACACTGCAGAGATTCAAGACCTTTCTGAAAATCAGTATCTATAAAAATACAGTTTGGAGCATCTGGTTTCCATTGTTTTGATAGACTTTATGGAAGAAAGTATAGTAGTCCAACTACTCCGGACATCAGCTTTAGCTGCAGCAGAACAAGTACTGAAACTAATGGCTAACACTATGACAGGTGAAACTTCTTTTATTATGCCTGTCAAGTGCAGTGCTGGAAGGACTACAAAGTTCAAGATGAAACAGGTTCTGTCTAAACAAACACTGTGGGATAAGACACCTTTGACATCTAAGTGGAAGTTTCAAGTCCTGACATCAAGTTGAGAGAGAAGGCTGGGAATGCTGTGGACATAGTGTATTCTGATCTCAGCCATCTTGATCTTGATCTCAGCCAAGGTTCTGACAAAGTCCTCCATTATATTCTTGCAGAAAAGCTAGTAGAATGTGGGCTGAGCGAGGTTACCGTTAGGTGGATTTGTAGCTGGTTGACTGATTGAGCCCAAAGAGTGCTTATTAATAGTTCCTCAAAAGTGACAAGTGGGCTGCTGCAGGATTCTGTCCTGGGCCCATTGTTGTTCAATGTCTTTATAAATGACTTGGATGAAGGAATTGAGGGGATGTGCATCAAATTTGCAGAGGACACCAATTGGGACTAGATGAGCCACTGACCTTATCCAGCAGACTCATATATTGCTAGTGAAGCTTTTCTTACATGGATGAATAACAATGTTTTTTCCTATTTCAGATATACCTTCGCTTCTCCTACTATTATGTGATTCATTTATTTGTAGGCAAATTTCATTTCTCCTAGGTACTGGAGAATTTAAACTCCATACTGCTTGATGCATTTCTGGCATGCTCCAGTAGCATTCAAGTGCTTGGTCAAAAAATAAACCACAGAAATTGCTGGGACTCTTGTAGACACAAGCCATTAGGATTCATCTGCTCACCTAACATAAAAATTTAACATCTAGATTGATAATACCATTGTAAAAGATGCTCTTTTCCATTGGTTCCATGAACTCCATTCCAAGGATTTTCTCCAGCAGCAATTTGTCCTTTACAATGTAATCCATCTCCTTATGAACCTATAAGTGGAAAAACAAAACAAACTTTTCATTATAAAAGCACTTCTAAGAAACAAAGAAAAGCACTATTTTATTTATTTAGGGGTTTATAACCCACCTTTGCACTTCAGAACAAAGAACTAAAGATGGTTGATGTAACAAATTAAAAGCAAACAACAAGAATATAGCAACTTTAGAAACACACATCAAAAGCAGCAGAATAGAAAACTACAAAAAGAAAAACATTCAGGGAGGGAGTAAAAAATAAAAATAAAATAAAAAGGATCAGGCCAAAGACTTTCCAAAAGCGAAGAAACAAAAGTTATCAAAAGGCACTGGAAAATCAACAGAGAGTAAGGTGATCTTGTATCAACTTGTTATACAAGTGATCAACATCTGTGGTGTTGACTGCAGGGCAGTGTACCAGCATCTGCACAGCACATTCTCTACTCTACAGGATCACATGAAAACAGAGGCTAAATCGCAGCCCCTTAACATCAAAAACATTATTCAATCTTTTTATTAAATGTTAATTGTGATACTCACATGATCAATAAATGAGCCTAGAAATTTATTCATGGTATGATATGCTTTAGTACTCTGCTCAAATGTAGTCGCAGATGAATTCAAAAGTCTAACAGGACCCTGTTTCTGGGGAGAAAAAGAAATACAAATGATTTTAAAATGCACACAAGGTCTCATTTGACATAATGGATGTGTAAAATAGTTTATGGACAATCTTTGGAAGCACTGAGCTTCCTGTTCTTCTAGAGGTTTCCCACGTGTTTTGGAATCCTAGAAAATCCAGGGTCTAAAACTCACAGGAGGCCTCTGTGAATACAGGAGGCTCCCTGCTTCAGAAAATTGTCCTTAACATCATGTAAGAGTGCACAAAATTCTAAACCACTCACTGGACCCAATGATCCACTGATCCAGAAGATGGTCCTAGTAGAAGAAATTCACAGAAACACACAGCTGAAAATACAGTAAGTTCTATCAAAGTCCAGTTGTGATCTGTTTTTAATGACTGGTGGTATGAATACTTATTGACTGATTTAAAACATTTCTGTACAACATTTCATCAAAACTGATTCCAGGATGGAATATAGATAATAATTTTTATAAAACCTAATAAAAGGTAAAGGTAAAGGTAAAGGGACCCCTGACCATTAGGTCCAGTAGTGGCCGACTCTGGGGTTGCAGCGCTCATCTCGCTTTATTGGCCAAGGGAGCTAGCGTACAGCTTCTGGGTCATGTGGCCAGCATGACTAAGCCGCTTCTGGCGAACCAGAGCAGCGTATGGAAATGCCGTTTATCTTCCTGCCGGAGTGGTACCTATTTATCTACTTGCACTTTGACGTGCTTTCGAACTGCTAGGTTGGCAGGAGCAGGGACCGAGCAACCGGGAGCTCACCCCATCGCGGGGATTCAAACTGCCAACCTTCTGATTGGCAAGTCCTAGGCTCTGTGGTTTAACCCACAGCGCCACCCGTGTCCCTATAAAATCTAATACAATATAGTAAAACATTCACACTAGAAATTATAATAAAAGACAGCAGATACAATTATAACACAGACTAAGGGGTTGTACAAATTAAAATGCATGGGTAAATAAACTGTACTTCTGAGGACAACACTTAAGACCAGGAACTCAGCAGAAAATGTTAAGATGTAGGCAGGCTGGTATGTGAAGAGGTGATCCCTAAGGTAGTTGGGACCCAAGTCAAGTAAGGCTTTAAAGGTATGTACCAGCACTAGAACAGCATTCAACACCATGTGTCATATCTTCAATTTCAGTTTTTGGACATCAAGGTTCTGCCACACGGATACTTAAAGGACCCAGACACAAAACAATACTCATAGACAAAAGGCACTGCTGTCCTGAGAGGCCACAGTTCACATGCAAGCATTCCATACAAAGATGCACAATGTAAACTTCACTCATATCATCTGTTTTTGTCTGTGTGTGAATGATCCATATGCACAATGAATGGTCAGAAGAATGAAGATGCCCTTGCGGTAAAGGGTATATAAGATTAAGAAAAATAGATGTGGAAGATTCTATGTCTTCTTGAACTAGAATCCATCTGGACAAGGACATTTTAAACCCAGAGGACAGCGCAGCAAGTCTGCCAATAATATACATACCCTTGTTAATGTTTCATGGATCCTGTCATACTGCTGCCTCATCTTGCTTGAAATGGAAATCTGAAAAGTCTGACCATCTGTGTTTGGTAACAAGCCTCTTTGACTACACAGATTTTCCTAAGGAAATGACATAAAGCAGAATTGCTGGAACAACTTGAACAAGGAATGAACTCAAGAATTTATTATCCATTCCGCTGAACCTGAGCAACATCTGCTTTTACCCTTTTGTACTGATAGTTAAGTTATAATAATAATAATTAATAATTATTAATGCACTGCTGTTCTGCACTAGAAATGCTATTTATAAGCCAGAGAAAATAGAAAAGGAAAAAGTGAAAAAATACAAGCTTTTAAAAATATGGGCAAGGATACAAAGGACAAATAAGTTCGGTGTGTAAAAGGGTGGTTTCTATTTCTTTCTCTGAAACATCAATACCCCATTCTGGTGTGATGAATTGTTTATGAAAGAAAGAGGAGTTTCAGATGCAGTTGTTGATAAAGCATAGGAGTCAGTTCAAAATTATAAGCAAGAAAAAATATTTGAGGGTGTAAAAAGGATTCTAGAAAATGCAACCGATTTTACTGCTTGACCTACTCTTAAATCTCTCTCACCCCCCCCCAAGAGTGGCAACAGTTAAGCACATATTGAAGTACAATGAAATACAAAATAACTAAAGTTCTTGTGCATGGATTCTTGATATAAGTGAGTTTTGGGATTCCCCTTCCTAGCTGTTTTACATACCGCTTCCCTCTTTAGGTTCATATTCATCTCTTCCATATTGGTATCTGAATGCCCATGCACAGACCGACCATGAATATAATACCCAAAGCATCTGTGTGACAACAGAAAGACTGAAATCTACAATGTAAGAAAAATAAAATTCAGCATCTTAAAAGATACAGATTCAAATAGTAATATAACTTTACAGTGTTTCTTTTCAATGGCTATGAAGATTCTTTGCACAAGAAAGCAAAATTCTGGACAACTAATCTATTTTGCAGTTATTATTTATGAGTTACGTTCCACCATGATGCAGTTAGTGAGATACAATATATTTTGAAACTGGGCATATCTTTCTTCTAGGCATCTATAAACCTGTGTGTGCACATCTGTGAGAAAGAGGATGTGCTTGTAGATAGTTCACCCCCCCTTCCCTACTTGACTCGTAGAGTGAGGATGAGAGGTCTGGGTTGATTCTCAAATTACTGTTGAGGGTCCTGAGTCTACTAAACTATATATAGTATTGTCTTCTCCTTGTTACACAAGTGAGAAAGACATCAAACTCTGTTGAGATTTTGGCAAAGAACTGGTGGAATAAAGAGCAGCAACTCTGGTTTATTAATTGCTATACTATGCTAACTGTTAGAACAAAACTAACTACATCTTTATAGCATTCTAAAGCATTAACATACTTCACAGAGAAAGCCACTAATTGGAAGCATAAAATGATCGAATACTTACATTGCTCATACAGCACAAGTCGACAAACTGCCTTATCTTATCTTCTATAAATCTTTCATAGAAGACAGAAAAGTATATCACCTGTAACAAATCAGATTTACTAATGAATTAACGACGTGCACTTTCAATTTCTCTGCTTTAGGGGCCAGTTTTAAACAGAAACAGTCATAAGAGTATAAGCCACGAGCTGCCTGTTATGCCACTGTTTTATAAAGTCCAAGGCATTCTGCCTCCTCCAAAGATGGGGGTAATTTAGAAAAGCAAAAGCTGGGATGTAGTGTGTTGATCTCAAATTACTTCAGTCTGGGATGCTGGGCAGTTATGTTTTGTCTGCCCCTATGTTGTTGACCAGGCATAGGCCCTCCAGATGTTTTGGGACTACAACTCCCATCATCCCTAGCTAACAGGGTCAGTGGTCAGGGATAATGGGAATTGTAGTCTCAAAACATCTGGAGGGCAGAGTTTGCCTATGCCTGTTCTTGACTAATGACCTAGAGGTGACTTAGCAATTCTGGGTTTTTTTTGTGTTTTTTCCTTTCTTGAGAAATCTGGAAACTGCACTCTCAGTTGAGCATTCCTGCTGCTGCTGCTCCTCCCCTCCTTTGTTTTTATTCTCTTTCAACTATGTGTGAAAACTGCAAGGAGAGGCCCATTCTTTGTTTTGTCTTCAATAATCTTCCCTTATCTGAGGATTCTGTTTGAACTATTTCCAATAGCACATGTATTTCAAATTGCAATTAGATATTTTAAACCACGTTTTTCCAAGTATCTTTTGAATTTTCCAAAGTTCAAATGCACCAATAGAATTCCAGCAGAAAGTTGATTTTCCACTGTATATTCACAGGTATGTCACACAGCAGGTATGCACACACGTGTACAAACAAGTTTTGTTAGAGCAGATCACTAACACCAATTGAGGCCTTTTATGCTAATAATTGATGGATGTCAACTTCTACGTTCTTCCCAATGAAAACAGATCTCCAAATAATCACCTCTAAAGAAAAATATAGAAACACACAAATACTTAGTTTGTGCCTTTCCAAGGACATCCAATACAACCAGAATTATAATCTTTTAACAACAACAAAATCAACAAAGGCAAATCTGTATAACTTGAAGTGAAGACAGTTAAATATATAGTGGTAATGGAAAGGTCTACCTGTATTATGGCAATCACTAGCCAAAGGACAGCAGACACGCCAAATCTCAGAATACGACTCCAGGGAGCTATGTAACTTTCTGGGCTCCTTTCAAGACTGGAAGAAGAATCCATTAAGGCCAGATTTGAAAACCCCACAACCTGAAAGCGTAATTTTGAAAATACCAAAAAGTATCTCATTAGTAATCTGCATTAACAAAGATCTTCTAAATTGCTGGACTTGTTGTGTTCTGTTATTTTAGTGTATATCTTTGACCATGAGGTAATATTTTATTGATCTATACTTTTATTCAGATAAAAATAATAATTCTACACATGGTACAGAAAGACTTGCAATGATGATGCAGATGTAGTGGATTATGCTAGATAAAACCGGAAGAGGATTCTATAAAATCAAAATATAACAATTTCATGAGCTGTACTTTCAGCTCCCTTCCAAAGCCAGCTGAGCCATTTTTAGTTAAGACTTAGCAAAAATTAACACTAGAACAGGATAATTTTAGCTCCGGAACTTAAAGATTTGACCATTCCGATGAATGAACATTGATTGTAATTCTGCTTTATGATGTCAAGTATTTCGCTGAGCAGCTTGCTTCACTTCCTGCATCATAAGTATCACTTGGCAGCCAAGAATCGAATCTGCAAAGTATTGTTATGGAAAAGCAAGTCTAAAATGAAGGCAATACTAGTAATAGCTCTGCAGGTTGCACAGAAACAGCAATAACAGAGCTCTTGTCCTGTTCACTAATAATATATGCACAAGACAATTAGTCCTCACCTGCCTTCTCATTATGTGCGCAGGAGAAAGCATTTGCTAATCATTTAATTCAGCTAGAACAAGTATTTCAGCTGATGCTGCATGATGAATAGATTATAACTGATGTCTAGTTGTGTCATGCTATTTGTTTTTAAGATACAACTTCTGTGGCTCACACTAAGTACATAGATAACAGAACTAAAACTGAACTATGGGAGCTCATAATAAAAAAAGAAGCAGCACACCAGCACACAATATAACCATTGGGTTGTATCCGACCAAGTTGCCCTGTTAACGCACATACTTCCTACAAATCTGCTTGGGAAAGGTTGGGGAACCCCCAGAACAGTTGAGGGATTGTTCAGAAGGAGCAGAGGGGAAGTCCTGTTGTGCAGGCAGAAGTCCCTGCACGAATGGGACGACTTCATTGGTTACATTCCATCAGTTTACCCAACTTCTTTAGAAAGATCAAAAATCAAATGAATGATCATGAAATCTGAAAGTCACCTCTAAGAAGAAGAGAATAGCAAGCACTTGGAAGAGAGGATTTATTTTCCTGACGGTTTGAATTTCGTTCCACTCATTTGCTATGAAATACGTTCTCCATATGCTGACAGGTGCAGAAATACTTCTTACGCCATTTTCTCCTGTGGAGAAGCATAGTTCAAACTGTAAAGATCTTAAATGTTATTTCTTTATATCCTGCTTTTCCAGCTTAAATAGCTTCCACAAAGCAGCTTGCATCTATTAAAATACATTTTAACACAATATAATAAACAGTAATCTCAAAAACAAGCTATAATATAAAGACTTATAAAATACATTAAGACAGGAAAACTAAAGACAGAAGAATTAAAAATATCCCAATCCAAATAATGTAAAAGACCAAGAAAGAAACCGTAAAAAAACTTCAAACCATTATCAGTAATTAAAAGCAGATAGGAATAAAAAGGTATTTAATGCCTGTTTGAAAGCAATTAAAAATTGAAGGCCAAACATACATCCCATGGGAGGGGGACACAATAGTGTGTCTGTGACCAGGCTTCTGGAGCCAATCTTAGGGCCCCAGCTAGTTTATATACGTCACAAATCATTTAGTGCTTTAAAAGGAAGCCATAGGCATAGGAACATGGCCAGTTATTAGTGGCAGCACAAAGGGTGGTATCCAATGCAAAAGTTCATTTAGCACAAGGACTTCAGACTCTGCGAGGAAACACTCCATTCTCTCCATACACCCCCTAAATGTCTTCTGCAGAGGATGCCAGGGGCACACGGGGAGAGGAGGCGGCGGCGGCGGCGGCGGCGGGGAGTTCTGCTGCACAGGTGGAAATCCTTGCGTCAACAGCGCTACTTCGTTAGATGTTGCCCACATTCAAATAAAACAGTATCTTAACTGACTACAGCTGGGACATGGAAATATTCCTAATTTTGGGGGGCTATTCCATACATTCACGTAGAAAAGGGATGGTAAGCCTGTGGCTATCTGGATATTGCAACTCCCATCATCCCTGGCCACTAACAATGCTGACTAGGGCTGACAGAAGCTGTAGGAACACATACCTTCAACTGCTTTAAGAACTTTTCCTTTAGGGCGCTCCCAGTCGATGAAAAAGATATCTACTGTAAGTTGGGAAACAAGCAGATGCAAAAACTGCAGTGCCTAAGGAAACCATTTAATGAAACAAAAATAAACCTAAATTAGCATTTAGGAAAGGAAGACAACTAATTAAAAACAGGAAGTCATCATTCAGAATTGTACAATTTCTGTTGCAATCCAGAAAACCTGGCTGCAGAAATAGGATAAAAATTCATTCCTGATTAATATTTCCACTTCTTATATCCATCAACAGGAGCTGGCTGCATTAGGGTTGGTGGGGGCAACTCAAGATCATGGGTAGTATATTAAAGTGTAATTCCACTTGAAAAACCTGCTGCTAGTTTGGCTGGGTCAGTTAACTGGGTCAGTTAAAAATTAGGAACCTTTAACTTCCAAAGATTGCTGTGAAAGAACATGTGCTTACACCTGTCCCCCTGAAATCTATGGGACTGTCGCTGTGTAAATCCTACTCACATGGAGATGCAAGTTCCATTGAGTTCAATGGGACATAAGAACATTAGAAGACCACTGCTGGATCAGACCAAAGGCCTCCCTAGTTCAACATACTGATCTCCAAGAGGCTAACCTGATGCCCATAGTTTGTAGCATAGCTGTGGTTAGCCAGTGGCAGTTCTCCCTCTGCAAAAACAGACTGGATATTGGGTTGCATCCAATGCTCTTCCTCTACTCTTCCAGGGCCCTTAAAACATCTGGAGCAGATTTTGAGAGAGCATGGGGTGCTGAAGGGAAGAGGAGAGGAGAGGAGCCTTTTGTTGCCCAAGTGGAAATCTGCTGCATTAGTGGGACAGCAATGTTGGATATGAAACATTGTATTCCAACTCAAGTTTTATTTCATTTGAAAAAAATATTTTTGTTTAGCTTTAAAACACTGAAAGACAAATGTGCCCTGCTAGTGTCAATAACCCATTATTTCTATATTGCAAGGCAGCAGCTGGGGTGAGGGTATGAATGGGAGAGTGAGGCTTGCCACAGTCCTCCAATGGTAGTCCATTGTTACTACTACAGTTTAGAGGCGGGGCTGAGTCTGGCTTGGCTTTCTAGTCAAAATTCTGCATACAAGTCCCCTCTCAAGTTCTAGCAAAGGCCAGTCTCCTTAATTTGCCTGTTTCTGCTGTTAGGTCTCTCTTTTTAAAATCTTTTGCTATTGGAAGACAAATAAAAGAAGTGATACCTTACCACTGAAACCATTTTTCTTTCTCTAGAAAACAGCAGAACTGGAGAGAACTGCAGCTTGTGCTAAAAATGCTAACCCTGATACAATTTTTCATTTAGAAGACAAAATTAACCACAGTATTAATTAATTATTAGGGCTCTGCACAAGGCTCCCCCTACCCTTGAGATTTGGATGACCCTCCCAGGGCTAACCTGGGAGGCACTCACCCCACCATGGATCCAGTTCCAACATAGTTTGGGGGGCAAGGCTTATGTTTAATTAGTTAAAAAAAACTAATAAAACATTCCTCTCCCAACTGACCGGGGGTGGGGTCTGCAGAGAATTTGCTTGCAAAAGAGTTCCCTGTGTCAGGAAGTATTGGTACCTCTGCTTAACAGCAAGAGGCTTCTCTGCTTCTCTGTATCCGACTCATCTGATGCCTGAGTCCCTCTGAACAAGCCAGTTTCTGCTCAGGGCTTAGACAAATCCAGAGCATGGCCCTACTGCTTACCTTAAGAGCAAAAGCACATCCAATGTAAGAAACAAAATTGTCTTCTTGACTTGGTAATGGTAAGAGAACAGAGACATACTGCTGTGCCTGTGGAGTGAAGGGTCTTCATTAAATCAAAGAAGCTGTAACTACATGTATGTTGAATCATATCATACAATTTCTACAACTGAATTTAAAATAGTGGTTGCTTTTGCCAAAGTTACGAGAGCTTGATGAAAATTAGGATTTGGAGCATTTTTTTTAAAAAAAAAACTATCTCTGTTGACTACTGCATGCACATTTAAAGTTAGAGGAAGAGGTAAAGTATAAAGGACAAATACAGAGAATATTTTACAGGTACAACTTGCCTCAATGGTCTGGTGAGAAAAGCAAAAAGGGAAAACAAAACACACAAACATTTAGATGTCATATCTAACATTTATATGTGCACAATTGTTTATTCATCTTTAAAGAAACACAATATGATGAAACTTACTTTGAAAAATATAAGCCAATATATCCCTGTTCCCACTGAGATGATGAAGAAAACATTTGCAAGGTCACCAGAGTAGAATAGCAAGAACTTCAGAACTGTCTACAACACCAGAGTACAAATGTGTTAGGTGCAATTACAGAAAGGTGTCCCAACAGAGACAGACAGAAATTATATTCTTACACATTGTCTCTACACCTGTATCTAGTAACTTTATGCAGTGATTCAGCTATAGCCTTAAAAATGAAATAAAAAATCACTCCTTGAAAGACTCCGCGTAATCTCTTTTTATAAAAGCAACCATTATCAAATAAAAAGAGGAGCAGCTAAAGAATAATACAATTATTCTTCATTTGTTTTGAATTCCAAGGATGATCTGCAGCCATCACTTCATAGTTATAACAGTAAGACAAAGAAAGTCAGGATTTCCCCTGCCATCCTGATATGTGTAAGCATCATGAACAAGTACTGTGGATCCAGTGCCCAACTATTTATTTCCATAAGCCACCAATACAGCAGATCTTCATTAGCAGTAGACTCAGCCTTCCCTGATCCACCAGACCTACTTGGTCATCCCTGACTGAACCCTTCTACTATTACTATTATTATTTTAATTTATTGCCTGCACTTCACCCCTACAGATCCAGGGCAGATTACAACAATTTAAAATACAACATTTAAAACCGTTTAGAACAGCTTACAGTCACAAAAAAACTAGAAGGTAAAAGCTTGAAGGTCAGGTTCAGTGTTTTTAGCTCAGGCTCCCATTTTGTGCTTCTTAGCTTTTCTTTCCTCCCAGCCTATATCTAGCCTGGGGGAGCTCCGGAAGTCAGAGAGGGAGAACAAACTGCATGCAGAAAGCCCAAGAAGTGATTCCCAGCACCTCCAGGTAAGACTGAGAAAGACTCTGGTCTCAAACCCTGGGAAGCTGCTGCCATTTAGAGTAACATATTGACCAAGAGGGACTGATTTGGCAAAAGACAGATTTCTGTGGTCCATTACTCCCCACTTGCCAGTCTCTGCTTCCTTAGACTATCTGCAACTTTGGCTTCATTGATCTCTGGCTCTTCTTCATACAACTTACTATGATGTGACCATCTTTCTGGTTCACAATCCCGACTTTGTCTGGCCATAAACAGTTTCCTAGTGGGTCTCCTTCCACATTTCACCAAAATCCTCCATGATCTGTAAAGATTCTCAGGGGTTCAAACCAGATACCGTATAACAGCCATATTCTCCCAACATCTCCCTAGATCTATTTACCCAAGTTAACCCCCAGTATCTACTCTGATGCTTTTCTCAACATGAGACATGAAAGGCACAGAAGACCTACGCTCGGAAACATATATCCTGCAACAGTTGGTATGGTGTAGTATAGTGGTTAAGTGTGTGTACTACTTAAGTCCTCAGTCATTAACACACTAGGATTTAATTAACCTTTGCCCTCCCCATTCCATTATATAGGAATAATAATAATGACCAATTTACAAAAATTGTAAAGATTACTGGGTTTATGTACATGAAGAACTTTGGATACCTCCAAACTGATATAAAACTGTAAATATTATGTGTAAAAAGTATTATCTGCTAGGATTCCCGATCGTTCATACCTGTAGGTCAATCATGGGGCTCCCTATACGCCTCTTCCAGCCAGCTGTCTTGAGAAGGGACCATAGAACTGCCAGGCCACCCAAAACACCTAGAGCTATCTGCAGGAAAAGATAAATAAATCAAGAGTTATGCTTCTGCTGCATTTTGTACAGAAATCAGCAAGCATACAGTAAAGGAATTAACATTTGATGAGGAGAGAAAACTTACATCAGTCTGAATGCGAGCCTCCGACTGGTTCATTTCATAGTTGACTGAGAAGGAAACCTGAACAGTGAAACAATTCCATTAACACTCCAATAAATCATTCTATCCTGACTGCCACATTTCATGCTGCATTAAATTACAATACATAAAAAATAAATAAGTAAAACAGAATGTTAAGTTAAGAGTCGCTAATTCGATGTGTTGAGCACTTTTAAAAGTTTTGGCACAAGAATTTGTTGCCATGAAAGCATGAAAAGAGGGAGAATTACATTAAGAAAAGATGTGGTTGCATAGCTTTTCCAGTAGAAACCATGGAGTTTACTGAAAGGAATGAATAACACAGTCATTGACAACAGAAATACTAGTTTTGCATGAAAATTGCCTGCAATTGTATGAAATTATTTTTAACCGAGGAATGAATATAGTGTTGGAAATGCCTGCCAATATCTATGGTCTACATACAGAATTTTATCTGGGATTTGGAAGATACTACAACAGATCACTCATGCCAATACTCAGTAAGTGAACTTTGCAAAATTTGTAGATAGTTTGGTTTGGGAATTATGGAGTTAATTTGCTTCCTAATGCCAACATTGACTGGCAGGTATTCACTTCAGCAGGCATTAAAAGTATGGATTTCAGGCAGTCTGACTTGCAGAGGGAATTAAGACTAAAGTGTACTTTCTTGATGTTTGGTTTGTTTGTGGATTGGGATATAAGAAACAGGGTAGCCTTGAGAGATAGAGAGGTGGCTCCCAGGAAGATCTGAAGAATTTCAAGCTCCCTATCAGAATTTTAGCCAGCAGGAAGCCTTTTTGATAAAATTAGCTAGATGTGTTCATCCTGTTTTAATTATCCTTTTGCTCTTTTGGGATTGATTTGTGTGCTTGCAACCATTCAGAAGATAAATTTTTTACCTAAGATTAATCTGCTTGCTAAGTAAGCTTTAAAATTTGGTTCATAAAGCCTTGTGGTCTCTGTGTGTCTATTACGCCACGCTACCTAAAGATGATGTCGTCAAGACCCAGGAAAGCTTTGGGCTGTTTGGTAGAGGCAGCCACTGGTAGCAGTGAACCAGGGTGTAGCTGGGGACATGTGACACCACTACTGAATCCTATCTAGCAATCACTGCTCCTGCAATGAGTTGGTTGCAATTATAAGGCTGAGCTTTTATTATTTTTGGGGCAAAGTTAAGTTTTTAAGCTATTTGGGGGGAAATAAAAAAACCCAAAAATACACACCACTTCCCATATGGGCTGCCATACAACTGGGTTTCCCTGGACATTTCAAGCGATTTTTGAAAATTCCACCCAGACGCCATTTTTGAAGGATGAATCCCAGCTATGTCCAGGAAATTCCAGATGCAGCCCTATTTAGGAACCAAGAAGTAATAGGAGGAGAGGACCAGGACCATACACATGAGAATGTAAGAAAAAAAAACTGAATCAGGCCAAATGTAGTCATGCAACCGGTCCTCACAGGCCAATCAGATGCTCATGGGAAGCCCAAATACAGGACCTGAGCATAACAGCACTCTCCCCACCTGTGGTTCCCAGCAAGTGGTATTCAGAGACATGTTGCCTCCAACACAGCTACACACATGGGGAAAGCAGAAACTACTACTTGTTCATCAGAACCATTTCTTCCGCAATAAGTTTGAACAAAACTGAAGAATCTTCATAGATGAATTTGCTGCCTTTTGGACAGTCATCAGGCAGGCAGGGTACAAGAAGGAAGAGCTTATTTTTATTCAGTATATTCTGACCCTTTTGAAAACATGCCTGATTTTGCTGTTAATTTAAAATGTGAAATCTGTACCGTTATGGCCTTATTATTTTTGCTAGTTCGTAAATAGTGTTCATTATTCGATTCCTTGGCATTATGTACCTCACCTATACCAGTTTTGATTGATTGATTTACTGCTGAATGATGCCAGGGAAATTCAAGTAATTGCTGGAGCTACATAGGAACTCACCACCACATTCTCAGCACCGGGATTCTGAACCAGAACATCACTGTACGCAATTGTAATCAGAGGGGGATAAATGGCTCCTCTCTGAGTGTTAGGCACAAGACGAATACTGCAGAAATATACACAACACAATGTTAACAAGGAAATAAAAGGTGATAAGAAGTTAGACACTAAACAAAAACTGGGCTCTCTGATCAATAAAACTTTATTTTAACAATGGTTATAATAATCAACTGTGATGTGCATACACAAAGTCAAAAATTAAATTAATTTTAGTCTGCCTTGCAGTAAAAGAACTGTTGATTTTCTGTAATGAACCATATGTACAGAATAGGTTTTCCTTTTAAACTGTCTTCCATTCCCAAAGAGGCAAGATGCCATTAAATTTTAAAAGCACATTAGTTCTGAGCCAACACATGCAGGATTGCGTTGTTAGTATGCTAAGTGCCTTGCAAAATTTATTAAATCTTTTCTCACAACAAATAACGTAAATAATGATAACAAGTAAATTATAAGTTAATCATGGTAATGTCAAATTTATAATTCGGAATCTATAGCTGGTAGTACCTTGTCATGTGATCTCACCTGATTGTTATTTCACTAGCAATTCTGATTATTCTTGGCTGGTTTCCTAAGTCATTTTCTTGTCCACTTAAAGTATCCACCAAAAACATTCGACGCGTCAAAAGCCAATTGTTCATATTGCTACCTTTTTTTAAAAAAATGTAAAATTAAATTTTCAAAGCAAAAAACTTAAATATAGAACAGTAGCAGTGTAATGAAGAAATAATGAAACATGCTTTAAAAAATATTAACATGTGAAAATGATAAGTAGTAAAGAAACTAGGGCAAGTAAATTTTCAGAGAGAAATGAACATTTCCTTGTTTTCAGATGCAGGTTTACTATGTCATGCTTCTAATTCAACAGGGAAAGCTGTAATAAGAATGATCTATCAAAATTCTGACTCTCATTTCAAAATCAACAACCTCTTCATATAAACTACATTTCAAATTCTCCTTGAAGTCAATGACCTTGTTTGGACATAACACTAAACTATGGTGTAGCGTTATGTGAATGAGCCTCAGGACTGTGTGCCTCCCCCCATCCCTCCTCTACTGAGGCCATGAGAAAATTGGACAAACTGTGGTTAGTTTTAACTATGCTTTACTGAAACTATCAATTTAAAGCAGTGGTTCATGAAGCTAGCTTCTTAAAAAAAATAGTTTAGAGTTCACGTGCAACAGTAAATTGCAAATTAACTGAAATCAGAAGTGAAAGCGTATTTTTAAGTGCTGCACTGGAAGAGAGGGCAACCTGAGGCTTCTTCATGTAATACTAAAGTTATTGCCACCCAGCACTCACTCTCTCTTTCGTTAGATCACCACCACTACCCTTTCTTTTGTAAGATTATGGGGAGCAACAAAGAATGTCGCTTGGCTCTGGTACCATCAATTGTCAACATGCATTACAATGAACTGCAGTCCTCAGGAGAAAAAAGGTTTGTGACTTTGTCACATTATGTTCAAACAAGGTGACTGTTTACAAAAGAAGACTTGTGTGATATTACATCACAAACATAATTATAGTGAAACAATATGTTGCCAAAAACCTAGAATTATTGCATGTAACAGAATGTATATAATCTAAACTCACTGAGAATAGAGACTGAATGTTCTTACCTCGGTTCACAAACATTTCATTATACTGAAGATTTAAGTTTAACACTGGCACTGCCCAAAGGTACTGTTGTCCATCTTCTTCATCATAATATTCAAGGAACACATCATAAAATATAGGATTAGAATAATCCTTTAAAATTTTGGAAACCGATATTGTACACTGTAGAAAAAGAGCATAAAGGTAAAATGAACCAGAATAAAATATGTATCTTCACTGTTCCAATAAAAGCCCTGAAAAACTCAGAAGCTGCAAATTGGTCCCCTGGAATTCTTAATAAATTCTACCCTTTCACAGAATGAAAGGTATAGACATGCAATTGCTTTCTAGCGACTGTACAGAGAAATGATTCAATCTGCATCAAAATTTATTTTGCAGAGCAGAGTATCAGACTTGAAAAGTAGCTGCATTTCTCCTCTTGAGAATGCAAGAGCAGCGCTGCTGGGTTAAACCGATGGTTTAACTAGGGCAGTATATTGTTTCCCACGGTGGCCAACCAGATTTCCATGAGGTGCCCACAACCTGGGCTTGAGGATAAATAGCCCTCTGTTGCTTTTATTCCCCAGCAACCAGTATTCACAGGAAAACTGCCTCTGAGCCTGGAGGTATGATATAGCCATCATAACTAGTAATCATTAAAAGCCTTCTTCTCAATGAATTCGCCTAATCCCCTTTTAAAGTCTTCCAGGTTGGGAGCCATCACTACATCTCACAGTAATGCATTTAATAGTTTAATAGTTTCACTGTTGCTGGAGGAGACTCTTGAGAGTCCCATGGACTGCAAGAAGAACAAACCTATCCATTCTTAAGGAAATCAGCCCGGAGTGCTCACTGGAAGGACAGATACTGAAGCTGAAGCTCCAATACTTTGGCCACCATATGAGAAGAGACGACTCCCTGGAAAAGACCCTGATGTTGGGAAAGATGGAGGGCACAAGGAGAAGGGGACGACAGAGGACAAGATGGTTGGATAGTGTTCGCGAAGCTACCAGCATGAGTTTGACCAAACTGTGGGAGGCAGTGGAAGACAGAAGTGCGTGGCATGCTCTGGTCCATGGGGTCATGAAGAGTCGGACACGACTAAACAACAACACAGTTTCACTATGGGCTCTGCAAAGTACTTTCTTTTTACCTGTCTGGAATTTCCCAACATTCAACTTCATTAGGTGACCCATGATTCTAGTATATAAGAGAAAGAGGAAAAACTTCTATCTACTTTCTCAACACAGTGCATTCTTTCATGAGCCTTGATCATGTTCCTCCTACCCCTACCGGGATTGTTTTTCATTTAAAGCTCTAGTGCTGTAACTTTTCCTTGCAGGGGAATGGCACCCGCCCCCAATCTTTTGGGTTGTCCTTTTCTGCACCTTCTCCAGCTTGCATGAACATACCGGTATATAATATTGTTTTAAATTACTCTTACTTTTTGTTGATAAGTTGTCCCAAAAATGTAAGCAGCATTCAGTTTAGTTAGCGTATCTGGGCAAAGCTGCAGTTTAAAAAAGATAATCATCAAACATTTTGCATATTTTAGTGCAGTCTTCACATACTTAGTACCCCCTCGAAGAAACACAAAACACAAACTGCTGCATTTATCACTTTTTAATAAAAGGTAAACATAAGCTTTAAAAGTAACAGAATAAATATTGTGACAGTAGCTGGTCCTTTAAAAGCCAACTTTGCTTCTTTCACATTCCACCAAAGCAAATTAATCTTTCAAACATTTCAGAAATAGTCTCTCAGGACAGGCAGGTCGAACTATGCCGTATGTGGATGGGAAAAAAGAAATAAACTTAGTCAACTCAGCTCCCTCTGCTAACTTAATATGTAAATGATGAATAAAAGCAAACAGGTAGTGTAAAACGTGAACAGAACACTTGCAGAGAATGAAAAAAATGATGATTAATAATCAAAGTGCCCTCTATTCAGTGGCTCTGGGCAGCACATGGGGCTCCACTGCATATTCAAAACCCTATATGAGCACGAACTGTCAAATTCACTTCAATAGCAGAGTCTATGTACACAAAGTTTCTCCAGACACTGAAGTAACAAGCCAGATCCAGCTTAGTTGGATCTCTGCATGTTCATTAGAACCATGAACAGTATTGGACTGAGCCATTTCCCCCCTCTTTGCTGACCAACATATTTACAAACTATGAGGCCACAGAAAAAAGAGATATGCTAAATACTAGATGCTTTGAAATGATGTGTTCATTCTTTCCCTCATTTAGTTCACGGCTCTAAATTTAATCCATGATGTATCATAAATAACAAACGCAAGCTTACCTGCAAAATACCACCTTCTAAATACTGCCATTTAAGAAAATTTCCCCCTGCATCATATGAAGCAGCAATAAACTGCAATTTTATATTCTGTCAATGAAGATAAAAGTGCCTTTAAAAACTGAGATTTTATATTTTAGACATTTCTCACAGCACACATGAAACAAAACAAAAATATTATTAGCATTTCACTTCCTCCTCTATAATTTTGCTAAAGAAATTTAGATATCAAATTTAAATCTCCTGCTTTACCAGGTAGCTGCATTATATAATACGCACAATACCATGCAAGTGTGAAAAGTTAGTTTGTTGTTCTCAAACTATTGTGGGGAACGAAGTCCATATTTTAACAAAAACTTATCAATGAAATGAAAGCTGAATTTTGTATAATAAACCAGACCCCAAGATGTTCCTAAAGTGTATAATAAAACTGCTTCAGCAAAACAAACAATATGGAGTACATGCTATGTGTTTGGTCTAGAAATTAAAAATCATTTCAGAGTTACATTACAGTTATATAATATGCAACATATAACCATCAGTTGGTTATCAACCTGTCTGCAAGCCCTGCTTCCTGTTAAACACTAGCTGAGCTGCTGTGCATAAACTCAGTAATAAAGTGCTTGAAGAGAATTCAACTTCTTTGGGTAAAGTAAAAGATCAGTTTGGCTGGGAAGACAGTCAAGGAAATCAAACCTAGCAGGTATGCCAGCGTAACGTAGAACCAAACTCTCCAAAACATTAGAGCTGAAATTACAAACATTTTGGTCATTTCATGTATATTGCCCCCCCCAATCTTTCTGATTTTATGACTGATACTTAAAGTAGTTTATATTGCAAAAGTGCAATCATTTACATGTCTGTTCAGAATTAAGCCTCTCTGAACTAAATTGTACTTACTGCCAGATGAGTGTAGCACGGGTGGGGAATGTCTCACCCATGAGCCAAACTGGGCCCACTAGGCCAGTATTTGGGCCCATCCATGACGACCTATTGCTCACCTGATGCCATGTGCGAGTAGGTAAAGTTGTGGCTGCCAAGGAACAATCAGAAGCATACACATGTGCTTTTTACTGTTGCTTAGCAAACTATCTCTCTGAATTATTGCTTGAACACTCTACCACGTTAGACCTAGTGGCTAAAACCGTGGACTGTATCTTTAAATATATAAGAGACATCAAAGGCTCCTTAGAGAATATTACATCCTTTGTATCCCCAAAAGTTAATGTCAGCCCTGTAGACGTTTCACCGGAGGATAGGGCTGAACCAACGCCCAGAGTACCTGCCCTATTACGTTTAACCCCGCAGACTGGCTGCAAATCTGAAAACGAACAATCTATGGAAGATTCACACACCATATCTTCCTATAATCTTTCGTTACAAGCCACTAGACTTTGTTTAATTATCCTTCCCTTCAAAGGTCAGGTTGTTAACTGGTCGTCTACACATGTCGCAAGAAGGCATTTGGCTGAGCTTCTGGGCGTAGATCCTCTTTCCATCGATCTGAAATCCGCTGTCCACATTTACAGCAAGCCACACATGCAGAGGATACTGCTCACCTTTGATTCCAAAAAGCTTCCAACTTATATGATGTCCTTACGAAGCTACCTGACTAACTATAGAATTTTTATCACAAGAGTTTTTATCAACACTAAGATTTGCCCTCTTATTCCCTACTCTCCAGTTAAAAGGAAAGCAATTAAAAATGAGGGCATTCCATCTACTACGAGCTCTACCTCTCCACCCTCAGACTTAATTAGTTGGACAGAGACCCCCATGCCCCTCCTATCAAAGGCTACTCATCTTGAGAATTCGATGGAGCAGGAATTACTTGTCTCCTTCTCCCATCTGCCAAAAGCCGAACAAACAGAGATAACGGACAGACTAGATGAGTTATTACTCTATCTCCGCAACTTTGAAGATCTAGCGCCCATAAAAGAGGCAAATATTCCACCTAACTTGGAGCGAAAAATGGGTCATGAATCTCCTCAGGTCACGGCAGAACACACACCTCTACTCTGCCCATCTGAAATCCACGCCGAAATCTCTGTGGCGCCCTAATCACATTACCGGAGACTCAACCATCCAATGGTTGCATCTTCCACGACCCCGGGAAAACCCTAGATGCTATTGAAGAGACAAAATGACTCTCACCCCTACTACTATCCTGGAACGTTGCTGGATGGCAATCGAAAACAAGGGACAAAGACGTTTTAACCTACGTATCACAGTTCAAGATCATCCTGCTCCAAGAAACCTGGATGCAAAATCCTTTCGAACTACACAATTACTTTGCTTTCCATTCCCCTGCCTCAATCGGCCCAAAAGGCGGAAGACCGGCGGGAGGTTTGAGCACCTTCGTATCGACAGATCTAGGAGCCTCCCTATCCAATTGAAAATCGATAAAAATGGATTTTGGCCGTTAAAATATTCTCCACCCATTTTAAGATCATATGCATCAATGTTTATATTCACCCACTTATGAAACAAACTGATCTTAAAAACATCTGGAACGAACTGGAAGACTGCATTCTCCTTGTCTCAAATAAGTTTCCTTCTGCCTCCTTAATTATTGGTGGGGATTTTAATGCAAGGCTAGGCCACTCAGACGAACAATTAATCAAGGAAAGTGGAATGGGTCCCCTAAATGCTAATGATGAATATTGGCCCCTATTCAGGCGTCACTCACTTGACCCAGTCACCAATTTTGCTGGTACATGTCTTTTTTTAATGGCACTTAGATTAAACCTTGTTATTTTAAACGGCCTCTCCTCGGGGGACTGCCCTGGCCAATTTACTTACTGGTCAGGCCTAAGGCATTCTGTTATTGACTACATCCTTGTCTCCCAAGAACTTTTCGATGAATATATTGAATTTACTGTAGATATAAGAACCGAAAGTGACCATTTACCCCTAAATCTTAAAAGGACTGAATTTTGGGAACCCTCTAGATGTGGGCTTGCCCCGCAGACTCCTGATCCTAGCGCTTTACAACAAATAGGTAGATCCAGAATTAAATGGTCCCCTTATGTTAATAACCATTTTGGTATTTGGACACAATCAATGGAAGGTCAACTCCTCTGGGCTGATCTGACTTCCAACGACACTGAAGAGACCTCCCCAATCGACCATTATAACACATTAATCCGAAAACTCCAACCGTTATTGTCAAGACCCAGAAGATCTAACCAAAATGACTCCCCTACCAACCAACATGGTTTGACCACGAATGCACTCAGGCAAAACTTATACTCAGGGAATGCTTTAAGGTCTTCCAGCAAAATCCTAACCCTATCACTAAATTGGAGTTACAACTTAAAAAAAAGAACTACAAAGAGTTATTAAAAACCAAAAAAAGAACCGCAGACTCTCTCATCTGGCAGGCCCTCATAAAAGCGTCAATAGAAAAAGACAATTCTAACTTCTGGAAAATCATCTCCAGTCAAACCAAAGCTCCTAATGAGGGCACAATAATCCCTGCAAATTCATGGGAAGAGCACTATAAAGTGCTGTTTAGGGAACATTGTCCTTCTGCGCCGCTTAACATCCCCTTAGATAATGATACACCATGGCCCCCAACATCTGAAACTGAAATCGCTTCGCTAATTCTACAAATGAAATCTGGCAAAGCCCCAGGAAGTGATTTCATTGTCGCTGAACTTTTGAAAGCGCAAATAAACTGGTGGGCCCCGGTCCTTGCAAATCTATTTTCATATATAGACAAGACAACTGAAATCCCTAAAGATTGGGGACTAGCTATAATTGTTCCCATATTTAAAAAGGGCAACCCCTCTGATCCATCTAATTATAGACCAATTAGTCTCCTGAATGTGATCTGTAAACTTTATACAAAACATCTATGCCTAAAATTATGGGAATGGTTAGATCATAACAACTTGCTAGAAATTGAACAAGCAGGGTTTACATCCGGACGTTCCACCATTGATCACTGCTTAGTGTTAGATTACTTTGTCTATAAGTATGCGAAATATTGGAAAAAGTCATTATATGCGGCCTTTGTGGACCTAAAGGCAGCATTTGATTCTGTATCTAGGAGCAGGCTCTGGGCCAAATTGGCCAATATGGGTATTAACAGAAGGTTATTACTTCTGATGATTAAGCTTCATGAGAACAATACCCTCCAGATAAGACTTGCACAGGACGGCAGACTCTCTAGAGAAATCCCAGTCCAAAGAGGAGTTAGACAAGGATGCCTATTAGCCCCATTCCTATTTAACATCTATGTTAACTCCCTGGTCACATGCTGCCGTGAAATTGAAACCCACCCCCCTGTGTTCTCTAATGGCAGAAAAGTACCAATTTTAATGTATGCGGATGACGCTGTTCTTCTCTCTCAAACCAAAGTGGGTCTGAAACGTGCCTTAGGAAAGTTTAGTGACCAATGTAACACTGAACTGCTAACAATTAACTTTGCCAAAACCAAAATTGTACATTTTAACCGCTCCTTCAGGAAGGATAATTGGAGCGTAAAGGGAAACGCCATTGAACAGACTAAGACCTTCCAATATTTAGGCATTACTTTCTCTTATAATGCCAAATTCTCAGCACACTTGACCACATCAGCTATATCAGCAGAAAGAAGTGCAAATGCTATCCTTAGATTATTCAGAAGGAAAGGAGCTGGCTTCCTCCCGATGGCCCTAACAGTCTTTCAGGCAAAATCTTTAGCCCAACTTCTATATGGCTCTCAAATTAGCCCCTCTGCCAACCTTAAGACCCTTGAAACAGTACAATCTAAATTCTTAAGATCATTATTTGCTACCCCTAAGTGTACACCTAATGCAGTCTTAAGGCAAGAGGCAGGACTGCCCAGAGTGGAATTAAAAGTCTGGGAACAAGCAATATCCCTCTGGCTGAAAATCCATTACAATCCTAAGGGTCTATTACCTTGCTTCCTGGCCGCAGTTCCCTATCCTCCTTGGCTTATGCAAATAACTAACAAGATCAAACAAATTGGCCTAAACCCTGAAAATATTTTTATTGGAACTCTGAACAAGGCAAAAGCTACTATTACTCGGAGACTTTATGATATCGAATTACAACAAGAAGGCGCCCTACTCCCAGAGACGTATAGATGTTTAAAAGCTTGGCCTAATTTTACAGCTGCCCCTTACTTAACCAACATCACTAGCGAAGCCTATAGATGGGCTTTCTCTAGAGCCCGCTTTGAGACAATGCCCTCAGCAGTGCTGTACGGCAAATTCACGCGGGTTCCAATGCATGCGCGTCTCTGCCCTTGTATGTCTAATAAGGTAGAATCTGTCACACACATTCTTCTATCTTGCGAATTCTATAGTGAAGAACGAGCTCAACTTATTTTACCGCTTTTATCAAAATTTATACCCCTTCAATATTATTTGGAATCCTCCCCTGAAATTCTTCGAAAATACCTCCTGGAAGATTCCTCAAGCTCAGTATCATATGAGGTGGCTAAATTTTGCACTTTAGTAATTAAGAAACGTAAATCTCTTCTGTCGAATGGCACACTGCGAAGTTCCCTTGTGTAACCTTTTTTCTTCTCTGAAGTTGTTGCTGATTTCTTGTTGTCTGATCTTGGGATGTTTAGTGTCACTGGCTTTGGCCGCAATAAACTTGAACTTGCTTGAACTGTTGCTTAGCAACTGGACTTGCATTTGCCACTGTTTAAATTTAGTGCTGAATGCTAGCCTCAGTGGACCAGAACCAATCGCTGTGGGGCTTGCATTTGGCACCAAATGTACATCGTGCCAAATGCAAGTCCTTTTGCTAAGGAATGATCCAGTCATCTAGACCAACGTAGTGAATCACCCCTGGAGTAGAGCAGAGGTGGGGAATATTTTCTGGCCAGAGGCCCAGATCTTTCTTTCTCTGTTTGGTCTGCAGGTTACCCACCCCTGGAGTAGAGGACTGCAGCCTCAATTACAAGGTACACATTAAAATTCTGAGGAAAACTGGCAACCTGTGCAATCCCATCATAACTCAATCACACGAAGAATAAACCTGGACTCAAAGGTTTTTTATATAAAAAATTGTAACTTACTTTGTTTGTTCCTTTAAAAGTGAAACTAGCAGGAAACTGGGTTGTGTCAAGAACCTGTGATGCTAATCCTGGCTGGTCACCATAGTATAGCCATGGAAGGTTCTGTCTCCTGCAAACAGTTACATGATGTTTGTTGCAACTATTAATTTCTAGATTATCTATCTATCTATCTATGAATAGCAAATACCACATACCAAAATGATATGGAATGAACAGTACCAAGTCCAGCAGTATTTGCAAAAACATACTGAAATAGACCACATGCATCTGTGCTGGCAGAGCTCAAACTATTCATGTTCATCACACACATATTTCCAAGTGTTTGGCAAGATGTAAGGTTGGAGTACAGCTGCAAGGAGATAAGCCAATGACAATTATTACAAGATTGTAAAGATATTTTAAAACTGACAATATCATATTAGAATACAATTTCTAGCTCTTTTAAGTTTTTTTTGTATGCTTTGAGAAGTTTTAAGTAACTCTGGGAAGAGGCATTCTGAAGCACATTTTACACTTCTACACTGTTTCAATACCTCAAAGCACCAGGGAAAATTGCAACCAGGTTTCAATACACAGATTATCCATGGAAGCCCAAAATAATAAACTATGTGTATTAGTAATACTTATCAATAATCCTGTTGAAAGAGAAAACTTTCAAAGCTTACCCAGCAAGCAGCTGCTGACGCTTGTAGGTTTTTGAAAACCATGCTGATATCAAGGTGATGCCCTATAAATAAGACCAGAAAGTCAAAATGGTTACAGCAAATTGTTTTGGTTCAAGGTAGAAGAGCAGGCCCTCACCTCATAGAGGCTTGTGCTCTCTTTTTAATGCTACTGTTGTTGTGGGAGGATTGAACTGTCATGGATACCAGAAACTTTATTCTGCTTTTGGAGTAATATGCTGCTAGTGGGCAGTAGGTGCTTCTGTAAATATTTATAGCAGTTGTATTATTTATGTTATTGTATTTATATCCCATTGTTTTCTCCAAGGAGCTCAGTGTTGTAAATGCTTCTCCCCACTGCTTTATTTCCTAGAAAAATAAGTGCAGGTACTCACCATGAAGTTGTTATAGTAAGTGCCACACTTTTTAACATCCCCCAACACCCCCCATCCCCCCAGGTGCTGGTACAGCTGGTACGCTGTACCCTTGAGCACCCCCTGAAAAAAAAGCACTGGTTCTTCCCCTCCTCACTTAATCCCACAGTAACCCTGTGTGGTAGGTTAGGCTGAGAGGCAGTGACTGGCCCAATGTCACCCAGTGAGCTTTAGAGAAAATGTGTGCATTTGAACCCTGGTCTTGCAGGTCCTACTCTGACATTCTAACCACTATATCACACTGGCTCTCATATATGTTTTGCAACCACAAAACAGGTATCTGTTAGATAAGGAGCACAATAAAAGGGGGATAAATAATGAATAAAAAACAATTATTTACTTAATGCAATGAATTATAGTTAGAGTAACCAATTTTTGGAATGATATGTAAACACGATTATTTATTGCATTGCATATTGCTGTTTTGATATAAATTGTTTTATTGTTCTTCATACTAACATAGTGTGGATACATTTGGCATGCAGTAATGCTTCTGAATATCAGCTGGTGGAAACCACAGGAGGGACAACGCTCTTGTGCACGACTCCTCCATGAGGGTTTAGTTTTATGCTCTTATATCTATGATGTACTTATATTTTTGCATTGATTGATGTATTTCTATTGTTGCTGGATGTGTGTGTGTGTGTGTGTGTGCACGCACACGTGTATGTGTGCTCATTTTAAGTGTAAATGTATCACCTTGAATGTCTGCAAACACTCTGTGGCAGCATGCAAACAAAATGATTATTATTATGACTTACTAGCTTTCCAAAGCGTACTGTTGCAGTTCCCTTTGGGGGGTAATTCCCAGTACTTCTGAAGCATAAACCTCCTGTCTGAAAAGATAGTTAAAAAAAAATCAAATTATGTAAATATCTACTTTTAAAGACAGAGGCTTAGAATTAGAATAGCTTTGTCACAAATGAAAAGAGGCATGAATCCAGTTAGGCGAGCAGAATCCCACTTGCACAATGGGCCTTTTCTGTGTCCTTCCCTTACTGCAGTACCGTGACATTGCACCTTTTGAGGGTCAGGGGACCTGGGATGTGATGAGAGGGAAGGTAGCTTACATGAGCAAACCTCCCACTGTGGGATATAACTCATACTGCTTCTCCTACATACTGTCCTATTATTTTGTTGGCATCCGTCTCAAGGAACAATGCAGCACACCTCTGGGGGCAAAGTCAAATCACTGCAGAATCAAAGCGCCCGCTGTAGCTGCAGAGACTGGTAACTCCTAACTGCTGCCTCTTGCATTGTTTTTGCTGCGTTAGCAGCACCGGTGACCTCACCTGGGGTGCACGCCTGAGCAGTGAGGTCCTGGGCTGCCCAGATAACAAGACCCCCGCTTGACCTCGTTTATGAGGTCCAAAGAAAAGCAGAGCAATGCATGTGGCACCAACCTGGCTGCAGGAGTTGCAAGAAGGAGGCATACAAGACACCATCCAACTGTCTTAGGGACTCCACTCCAGATTTGTGTAGGGGTTATTTCCTTAGCCTTTCCTTCTCCCAAAGATGTCCTATTATACTTACTAAAATATTGGGCTCAGAACAGCTACATGACTTGTTTACACTGATGAATGTTGGTTCACATCTTATACACCTAAAAAGATAAAAATAGAATGTGAAGGCATTTCTTGAAGGCATTTCATACCTTATAGTTTAGTAATCCTTTATAATGTAATAACATCACATAGGCAACACCAGAGAACAGACTTGCCGCATTTGTGAAAATCAGACTGTACCATTTGTTCTATCAGGTGCACATATCTAACAGTTCAGAGTATCCAACTCAGATATGCTTGTGAGAGATAAGTAGAGTTATGGAAGACAAAAATGCTGCAAAAAATGATATCACTGTGTCTTGTTCCTACCATAATATCTTATGAAACTCACTATGTGATGCAATATGATCACACTATGGATTTTCTCATGCTAGCTTCATAAGCATTGGAGGCTGCTGCTGGGTAAACTAGCAGAATGATGTATTGATTTCCCTCAGTGACTTTCACCTGATGCTTCAGATGAGATGTGGCATAGATGTGGGAATGCTATTTTTGCCTGATACCTAGCATTTTCTATAATGTCTTGTTCTCCTCATAGAAATATCTTCAAGTGGCAGCTATAGGTTTACACATATTTTTCAGCACTGAAAAAGTAGCAAAAACATACTGAGGTTTTTTCAATGATGCACATGTTTAGGAGGATGTTGAGTTGAACTTTCTCTTCCACCTATACAGAAAAACTACTGCCCTTATATTCCAGAATCAGCTTCCTTTTGCATGCTATCAGTAATTTCTTGAAAATGGATCTTTTTGGACATATCACTGCCAGCTTCCTAAACTACAATATAGAAAGCTAGGAACAAGTGTTGGGTTTGAGCCTCCTTGCTTCAGTTTTCCATTGGTTTCCTCTAGTGCTCCAGATCTGGTATCTTCAAGCCAGTTCCCCATTATGGGACTTTCCCCCCTCTCCTCCCACTGTGCCCTCTGAAATTGGCTGGTTGGGGGTCCCTCAAGAGAACCCCTGAAATAGTGTACAGGTAAAATGCTTGTGTAGCTAGAACATTTGTCATAGCACAACACTGAATTCTATCAGTTCACTAACCAAGTTTAAATCCTTTTTAGAAACCTGACATAAAACTGAGGTTCCCAATTTCAGCTGTAATGGGGAACTGTGCTTTAAAGCATTGGTCTTCAACCAATGAGTAAGAACCCACTACTGGATTGCAACCCAGCCTAAAGTGGGTAACACCAGCAGGGAAATATATGGTTAAAAAACTAAGAAGCTGCTTGTGTTAAAGGCGGGTCCTAAATCTAAAAATATTGCAGGAAACGGCTATAAGGAGACAAAGACTGGAGCACCAAAGCCAACATATGTTAGAAGGAGGAAGAAGGGCAAACCACACAGACCTGACATTTAGTTAAACTATGACTTATAAAGCTGAAAATGTATCTGATCTGATTCCATTTTTCTTTTAAACATGGGAGCGCTTCAGAAAGTTTGAAATTATAGGTTGTATGCAATGCTGTTCAGCTCACAGTGCAGCGTTCTACTTGCACAACAGAACTTCCTCCTCCTCTCCCCTGCAGCCCCCTTCAAAGTCTGCTCCAAAAGGGTTGGTGGCCTCTGTGAAATGGATTTTGTGGTGAATGGGGAGATGAGGGTAAGACTGCATGCATGGAATGTTACTTGGGTAATATTGCATACAACCAGCCTTTTTTCCCGGGGGAATGCATTCCCCTAAACATTTTGTGAATCTAAGTTTGGCCTCATTGAGGGGCAGTATTTCAATAGGAGTAGGAAAATGAGAGTACCCCTAAACAATTTTTAGAAAAAAAGCACTACATACAACCATATTCCTGCAACTTTTTGCAAATTTGTATCAATTGCACTACCAGTTTTGTATATTTGTGCATGAATAAAAGAATAAATCAACAACCCCTTCTCCCAAAGCAAGTCTTCAACAAAAAGAATACTTACATGTTATTTAATGCATTTGAAGTAGCAAATGACTTCCCTTTCCCATCACATTGAACACATAATGCATCTGCCAACAATGCACCATTGGTGTCTCTTTCCACTAAGTAAAAAGAGAATATGAACACATATAGTAACATGGCATATAGGTTCATATAATATCTATATGTGAATAACCGTGTACAAATGCAATGTTTCAGAAAAAAAGTTAGAACATTCAGTTGCCTAATGCACACGCCACAAATTTAAACTTTACTGTGATCCAAAGGGCTTTTCAGTGTTCTGCACATATGCTGGGGCCTTCTAGGACTGCTCTTCCTTCCATAGGCTCTGGCAGATACTGAAAAATCATTCCAAAAATCTTTTGGAACTCTCTGGAGTGAAACTCCATGTGACATAAGGGATTGATGCAATTAGAAAACCAGCTACTTGGAAGTGCTTTTTACACATGGATGGGTCTCTTAATGCTATAGAAACCTGTCAAAATGACCCACAGGCGGGGGAGAGGTCAGGATCTAGCCTACTGACTGGATCCTGTTCCTCACTCCTGAATTAAAGCATCTAAGGTAGCAGGGAAGACCTCAACTCAAGTCTTGTAAAGCTAGTCAGAGGAGACAACGCCAAGTTAGACAGACAAATCATCTGACAATATAAAGCAAGTTAATAAGTTTATATGTTCATTTTTTGTCTCTGTTGTTATCATTCTGTCTTATTGACCTCTTGATTTTAGTTAAGAAGCCCATAGTAGAATAGCTGCAAAAACTACCTTCCTCAAATGCAGCATAGTATTTGATATTGGGTAGGTGAAAAGACTAATATATTTTTATTACTTTCTTAAGACAGAAATCAAACATATAGTATTGTATCCAATCTTTTCATCCCATGAATAGAAGGACCCTTTCTGAGGCTGTGTATGCATCATACATTTTAAGCATATGACTTTCCGCATCCTGAATCTTGAGAACTATAGTTTGTTAAGGGTGCTGAGAACTGTAACTTGGTGACGGGTAAACTACAGTTCCCATGATTCTTTTGGGGACATAATGTACTTTAAATGTATGGTGTGTACACAGCCTTGGTGTGCAACTCTCTTAAGTGCGGAACTCTCTTTCCACGAATTGAAGCTCTTTCCATTCATGGACTTAAAATATTAGGTACAACCCACAAAAATATTCAGTACTGCTTCCTCTGCTGGAGAAATCAAATATTTTAACACAATGAACAACTTCATAGAATTCTTACCCAAGATCTCATTAACAGGGCATTTACATTTTCCTTCACTAGTTAAGCCTTTAGGACAAGTAATGCAGTCCCATCCATCTTGGGTAACTCCACTCTAAGAAAACACATATTAAAATATTTTAAATCTCATTGCATTATAACTATATAGTACATCTATACATTGTTTGCAGTAAAAACCGTTTCGATTTTATTGCAAGTATAACATTACCGTGCTTTCTGGACATTTTTCACAAGTTATAGAAGATCCACCATTATCAGAAACTAACTTGAATCCTGGTAGACAAGTGCATGATGTACCTGAAACAAACACAATAATTTGTTATTTCAATTGCTACAAACTGAAATCCAATTTGCTCTATCAAGGTTACCTCTCTGAAATATATCCTAAAAGCCCCCATCTCCACTGGCACTTCTGTGTGGTTTGATGGCTACTAATGGACTCTGCTTGGGGAAACTTGGATTCAAATCCTATTGTCAGCTGTGAAACTTACTGACTGACCCTGGACCTGTCACACTTTCAACCTAACCATGCACACTGACAATGCTATATAAATAACAATATACCAGGGAGTGACAGAAGAAGCCATATCTTACAGCAAGGTGTCATATCAGGGTCTACTGGTAGATCACTTGGGGTTTTTTGTACTCCCAATAGTTTTACAATAGCAACAACAAAATTACTCTCCCCCCATCCTAATTGGACTGATGAAGTGACGAAAGATTGGGGTCATGATGCGTGGATTTTTCTGTCAAAGGATAGCAAAATCAGCCGTGATTCTCAAAACAAATTCTTGAGCTCAGAGTTCTTTAGCTCTTGCGAAGATGGCAGGAAAGGCCCTCCTTACGTATCCAAAACCAAGACCAAATAGGCATTCATGAAAAAGCTTTCTCTGCAGAGGCATCACTTCTCTAAAATGCTTTATCAATTGTCCTGGAATAAATCCCATTACTTCACACGTTGAAGAAAACCCCATAGACCCACTTCATACACAGCTGCGTTCTGTTGTAACTACATAAGATGTTTGGGGTTGGACCCTTGCAGTTTATTTTGCTTGGCCTTTAACGATTTCTTCGTTGTAGCTGCATTTGAACTGAAACATTAGAGGGAGGGAGACATAGGGCAATACGCAACGTTAGCCACACTGGAAGCAGCAGGCCCATTCAAATCAATGGGAACGCCATGGATTTCAATGGGTCGGCTGATGTACTCGGGAGTATGACTGAAGTGGGAAGAAATGAGGCCTTGATACAAGGGGGGGAAGGAGCCCTCCCGAGGCCCTGGCTCCTCGCCAGGCGGCCCTTCCTAGGGATTTCGCCTGTAAGCCGCGCTCGCCGCGCTCGCCTCACCCCGAGAGCTTTTCCTCTGCGAGGCCCCGCACTGCCCGCAACTCAGGCTGGCGATGTCAAAGTACTGCGTCCCACCGCAGCCCTGGGGCCGGTGCAGCGGGAGGAAGAAGCCCTGGCCTCCCGACAGTTCCGCGCCGAACGGGAGCAAGAAGAAGGCCGCGCAAACCCAACGCCTCGCCGTCGCCATGGCTACCGAGGCCTCGGCCGCGGCTGCCTGCCTCAGCGGCGCAGCCAATAGGCTCTCGCGTCTCGGAGCGGCCGCTACGGGACGCCAGGCAGACCAAAAATATCAGAGTGCGCAAATCATAACCATTCCCCGGTAGGTGCCCTATTGAATTCAAGGGGGTTTGCTCCCAAGGTAATTGGGGTTAGGATTACAGCCTTAGTTGACCGAATACTCGGATCTGCCTAAAATTTTCTCGACAAATATAAAGGGGGGAAATTGGCCTTTCGCAAGGCAGGTTTTTTTCTGTTTTGCGGTCACTCTTAAAGGTAAAGGGACCCCTGGCCATTAGGTCCAGTCATGGCCGACTCTGGGGTTGCTGCGCTCATCTCGCTTTACTGGCCAAGGGAGCCGGAGTACAGCTTCCAGGTCATGTGGCCAGCATGACAAAGCCACTTCTGGCGAACCAGAGCAGCGCACGGAAACGCCGTTTACCTTCCCACTGGAGCAGTACCTATTTATCTACTTGCACTGGTGTGCTTTCGAACTGCTAGGTGGGCAGGAGCAACGAGACCGAGCAACGGGAGCTCACCCCGTTCGAACCGCCAACCTTCTGATCGGCAAACCCTAGGCTCTGTGGTTTAACCCACAGCGCCACCCACGTCCCTTACACGGTCACTCTTACATCAAGTCAATAAACGGTTTTTCTATGGGGAAAGACTAAGCTTGTCTACGCAGAAGAAATCTGCCCCAAATTCAGTAGGGTTTTTTTCCCTCGGTTAAAGCGTAGGGTTGCAAATTCCAAATCAAGGAAGATGGGTGTTTCGTTCATACCAGGGAATAAGTGCATTTCTTTGGTCGTGAAGTTGCTTTGAGATTACTGTGTAGGTGCCACATAAAGCACAGATTAATTATAAGACTGCTGTTAGGAGCTACTGCCAATGGTGATGATACAACCAATTTTTTTTGGACAAACACTAAGAAACCGGAATAGCCAACCCCAGCTCCTATTTTCCATTCGATTTCAGACAGGAAAAAACTGCGCGAAGTTTATATCTTAGCTGCAGTTAAACGAAAATTGGCAGGAGACAAAAAGGGCACACAGATTGATTTCTGAACTAGAGGTGGAAATGAAGACACGTAAAAAATCAGCTGCTGTATTTCCACACTCGAATTCCTTTTCATCGAAACAACGCTGCGCAAGAACTTGGATTTCCCCACTTACTTCTTCTGCGCAGGTGCCATACTAACAGGAAGAGATACGACAAGGCAAAATGATTGGTGAAGCCTCGAGTTTCCCGTACAAGAACAGACGCATGCGCACTAGTTGCCGGGCGGCTTCCGGGGGACTCTTTGTGCGCGTGCGCAGCAGAACCATTTCCGCCCCCTCCCTGCGCACGTCCTGGCGGTTCTCTGAGGGAGACGGAGACGAGGGCGGCTGCCATTTTGTCTCTTGCAGTTGGGCCTCTCCCTCTGTGAGGCAGAGCGAGGGGAGAGTAGCGCTGTTGCTGCTGGAGGCGAGCGAGTACCGCGCGTGTTTCAGCTGGTGTAGCCGGGCGGGCCGCGACGAGGCGCGCTTGCGGACGTGGCGAGGCCGTACGGAAGAGGCCGCGCCGTTGGGTCTGGCGAGTTTTCCCGCAGTAGCAAAAGCAAAGCGGTCGCGCTGTTTCCTTCCCTCCGTTGAGGGAAGTCGCGGAGCCTGGGCGCTCTCCGGGTCCATTCGCCCCACACGGGCCTGGTTAGTAGCGCTAAAGGGTGGTCGTGTGTGTATGTGTGTGTGTACACGCGTGTGCGTGCACGGGTGTATGTGTACACGCGTGTTTGTTTTTTTGGCACGCGGGTAAGCTGCCTGACTGTTCTCGGTAGTGAGTCTCTTAAGCTGCAGAAACACCTCCTGCCCCCCGTACTGTGCTTCTTTCCCTTGTGGTAAAAGGGGCCGAGCGATACCCCGGTGGGTGCTAACTTAAAGGTATTCAATGGTGCGCGGGCAGCCGGTGACGGGGAGAGCCTGGTGGCTGCTTGTAGGGAGAGGCCGCGCCTATGTCTTCCCTATTCCGGCGTCAATCCGGTGCGGTGACAAAATAATGCCTTCAAACGAACACAGTTCTTTTGTGTGGACGGAAATCATTCCGGCGTGGGGACCAATTACAGCTCTGACTTAGGAGTGGCTGATCCGGTTGGTGATTCCAGTTCATACCCGGTGACGGGCATCATGGCTTTTGGTTTTTCTTTTTTGTCCTCCTAGCCACAGAATTTGTTGTTCTCCCACGCGTACTCGGATGGTTGGTTAATAGCAATCCCTTGGAACCCACTGGACCTTTCTGCCGCTGGCATCCCTGGGAGTGCATTGGAATGTACAGGAACTGGTATGGGAGAACCACGGAGGACTAAGGAGATGCCGACCGCATTCACAGCTTGTTTTAAGAAATGGTTCTTCATGGCTGGCCAAGAAATGTTCTGTGGTGGTGTGATTTCTTCTAGCCAGCATTTACGTGGAGAAAAAGGAAGAATGCTAGTTGCTCAGGATGACATGCCTTCTCTGCACTTCACATACTCTGTACAAAGTATATTTTTGCTCTGTCAGGATATCCCTGAGTTCTATCGTGCACCAATCCCTGGGAAGGAATAGCCTAGACACTACAGTACTCCAGTAATGTCATTATCATGAACAGTTAAGGATAGGAGTTAGAAGTGCCAGTTTTAGTAGGAATCTATATTCTTGTTTTGTGTTAGCTTCTTTCTCAGCAAGGACTGCATAGGAGTAAAGTACACTTACGGGCTTTTTTAATTGGGAATAACTATTTTGTGGATATACAAAACACTTTGCAACTTCTCCATTTTCCCTAGTTGTTTTTTGATCTAAATTCTATTTACTCATCTAAATCTTTATATGCCTTGTCCACACCTGATAACCAAGAGTTGCTACAGTAAATTGTTAATATTTGTTTCATTTTTTGTTATTGTTGGGGGATGGGGCTCTAGAAGTAAAATCTTGCCTTGCGGTGAAGACTTGTCTACTTGCTTTGGAGGTCTCTGCTGGGACTGAAAAATAATTTATAGTTGTCTTTTTTAAAAAACCGCAAAAACATGGTGGATTTTATCCATGGTGTTGGTGTAAGATCTTGAGTTACCTAGGAGTATTTAGATTCTAGAACAGTTTTAGCTGGTTTTCTAGCATTGTTAGAGTGCTATTACACTGATGCCCTGCTTGCAAGGACATCTGGTTGGCCACTGTGAGAACAGCATGCTGGACTAGATGGGCCACTGGCCTGATTCAGTAGGCTATTCTTATGTTCTTGTTCTTGCTTCCCAACAATAACAACATATAAGAAGAATGTTTGATATTAGCCTTTTGAGTAATGAGATGTTATTAATCCCTATTGATTAGAATACTGCCATTGATTTCAGTATGATATTGATAGTGTTTTTAGAGAACTATTCAGACTTCTCAAAAAGCCCTTGTTAGAAACTTCCAGATTGGTGGTCTATGATCTTTGCAGAGGGGGTGAAAGAAAGTAGGCCTTCTCGATGTACTTTACTGAAATCAAGTTTAAAGTAAATAAGATTTCATAGTTTGCTTTCTTGGTCGTGTGGATCAGTTATAGATGAATTGGGTTCTTGCACCGTTCCTATATATGCTAGATAATTCGGACATTTATTTTTGAGTAGGTTTCATTGAACTCAGTTGAACCTCCGGTTTTGGGCTACCCAGTTTCTGTTGCTTCATATTTATGTATTTTATGGAATTTGTGAAAAGATTGGCTTGGAAAGCGCCATGAAACTGTTTTATGAATGTAGTCAGTATATTTGAGTCCCTTGACTTTCGTGATGTTTTAGTGCTCTAAAGAGATATCATAGAATATATTGTATTCTGGATTTGTGGTTGAATGACAAGCATTCGTGGTGAAATTGGAATGGGCATAAGCAGTATATTTTCCTGAATTTACTTAATTTTTTGGATTTTTCTTCCAATATGGTCATCTTTACAACAACGAATTAAACTACAGGCGAACATCTTGTCACCCTCTTCTGAAAAGAATTTAAGAACAACTGCCGACTCCTATTTTTGTGTGGGACTTTTGGGTTCTTCCACCCAACTGTCTGTGGATCTTTTGAAGACTGATTTCAAACTATTTTCTTCACTTGTTGCAATCTGTTTTAAATGGATACTCTGGCCAAAATGTTGTTCAGTTGAGATTGGTTATTTTTGATTTTTGTGCCTCTCTGGACTGGGAAATAATTTTAACACAAGAATACCAATCTTGATTTCTTACTAATGTTGACCATGATTATGAATATACCACAGTAACACAGCATAGTATGTAAACCTGCTTCTTGACCATTAATAATGTTTCATTTTCTTTCCACAGTTAAATTGATTTCACAGACTTTATCAGGTCTTCTAAAGGGGAAAAAAAGGTAAGCTTCAAAGCTTAATGCTTCTTTTGTCTGAGATGATGGTTTTTTCTCCCAGGCTTGTGACTGGAAAAGATGTGCAATTCAATATCCTGATCATGGGGCAAGGATGACTGAAATTGGATTCATTATGAGGTGGGCTGTTCTACTGATAGAACATAAATGTCTGAAAATCTAAGATTTCTGTGTAAGTTGCTAGAGAGTTGTGAGACATTTTTGATCACAGATCTTTCTTGGCTTTTGCTGTTGGATGGCAAGAACATGGGACCACAGTTGTCTAGAATATATTCTGTGAAAGGTTTGCTACGTCTTATTATAGATTGTAAGAAGAGTGATGTTTGATATTGTTGCTTTTAAAATGGGGAATGCTGGTGGAACAGTGCAGAATTTCAGATTGAATAGTGTATGAACTTTCAAATTAAAATAGGTTTGTTATTCCAGATGAAGGAATTATTTTTTATTTTGTAGCACTTAACTTTCCCAGTGTACTAAAGGCTTGCTATCACATATACCTTTTTGTCCACAGGTGATTATTGCTGTGGGCTGAGCTCAGAATGGCGGTAGTCATCCGTTTACAGGGGCTTCCTGTTGTTGCGGGTTCTGCAGATATTCGCCGCTTCTTCTCAGGATTGAATATTCCTGATGGAGGTGTGCATATCATTGGAGGAGAAAAGGGGGAAGCTTTCATTATATTTGCAACAGATGAAGATGCACGACAAGCAATGAGCTATTCTGGAGGATTTATCAAGGATTCACGTATAGAGTTCTTTCTTAGCAGCAAGACAGAAATGCAGACTATAATAGAAATTAGTAGGAGAAGACGGGCAGGTTCCATTAACTCAGGCGCATCTGGAATTGGCAATATTTCAAATTTAGTTGCAGCCATTAATAAAGGAATGCATCAATCTAGCTGTAGTTCCATGGATCCGTTGGGGAATGAGTTCCGTTCAAATGGATCTCGAAACAGTGATACAGATATGTTGGAACCAAACTATAATCAGCCTAACAAAGAGCCATTTCCAAGTGTGTACCTATTTATACGTGGTATGCCTTATTCTGCAACAGAAGATGATGTACGCAATTTCTTCTCTGGATTGCAAGTGGAGGGAATAGCCATGAGAAAAATTAATGGTAAAAATAATGGAGACGCCGTGGTAAAATTTGCAACATTAAGCGATGCCACGGAAGGGCTTCAACGTGATCGAGAGTATATGGGTTCAAGATTTATTATCGTACGAACCTCTGGTAAAGGAACGTGGATTAAGTTTGGTGGAAAGATTGGCAGTCCTGTCAATACCAAACATTTCAGTCATCATTTGAATAAGGAAACATTTTCTTCAAGCAGAGAGCATTCACGAAGAGAGCCAGACTATTTGTCCTCAAGAAAACGCACCTGTTCAAGGTCTCCAGAGAGGGTTATGGCACGCACTCGTTCAAGGTCTCCTGCAGGGAGGATTACATCACGTACCCATTCAAGGTCTCCAGGGAGGGTTAAGGCACACCATCGGTCAAGGTCACCACGGAGGGTAAGGACACGCACCCGGTCAAGGTCACCACAGAGGGTAAGGACACACACCCGGTCAAGGTCACCACCACGGAGGGTTATGGCACGCACCCGGTCAAGGTCACCACCATGGAGGGTTATGGCACGCACCCGGTCAAGGTCTCCACAACAGAGGTTTATGACACAGTCTCGTTCTCAACACAGAGAATATTATATACTCATTAAAAATCTCCAACCTACTGTTGAGAAGAAAGATTTGATAAAGTTCTTTGGGCATCCAGGTGTGACTGCCAGTCCTATTATATTTTTAAAGCCAGAAGGCGATGAAAAGACGAAAGATGCAATTCTGTTGTGTGACTCATTGAAGGTGTATGAGTTTGTATTGACCTTTCACAAGGATAAACTGCTTGGCCAGCCGATTTTCATCTTTCCCATTTCAAAAGAAAAGCTGTTGTTCTTGACTGAATCTTCTGAAGCAAAAGTACCACCAGAAAGACAGCACCATGCAAATGAAAGAAGTGATAGAGATGAATATTCTGGCTTAAAGACCTGCGTATATGTGAGAAACTTTCCATTTGATGTGACAAATGTTGAAGTACAGAAGTTCTTTGCAGGATTTAATATTGATAACAGTGACATTTATTTGCTTTATGATGACAAAGGAATTGGACTTGGGGAAGCATTGGTCAACTTCAGAACTGAAGAACAAGCCCGCAAAGCTGAAAGCTTAAATCGCCGGCGGTTTTTGGGAACAGAGGTACTCCTAAGATGTATTTCTGAGGAACAAATGCAAGAGTTTGGTATTAATATTTCATCAACATCAAATGAAAAGATACAGGATAATCTCCATACATATGAAAGAAGTGAACATTTTTACCCCAGTGGTTCACAAGGATCCTCTTTGCATGGGAACTTAAAGCACCTGTCTAATTATAGACACCCGTCTGATGATTTTATCGGCTCATCTGATCTTTTTAGAGGGCCCCCTGGTGATGGCATTCCTGGTAGTTTTCAAGAAGGGCATTTTAGGCCTGACTATAATTCTAGTGGTGCCTCAGATCGTGTCACATTGATTAAATTAAAGAATTTACCGTTTCAAGCTTCTCCTAATGAAATTCTGGATTTCTTCCACGGTTATAAAATCATACCAGAATCTCTTTCTATTCTGCGCAATGAATATGGAATGTCTTCTGGTGAAGCTATTCTTGCCATGATGAATTATAATGAGGCAGTGGCTGCTATTAATGAATTAAATGACAGGCCAATTGGCAACCGCAAAGTTAGTTTAACTTTTGGGTAGATGTGAAAATGCCTAGGAGGCAAAGTGAAGATGTTTGCAGTATTAATAGAATAAAACTAGATTTGTGTTTTTGTTATTTGGAAAGTGATGACAAAACATCCATCTATTTGTAAATAGTTAATTGCTTTAAAATGAAAGCTGTTTGATGCAGTGCAGTTGCATCTGTTAGAAAGCATAGGTTGTTAGTTACTCTTGAATATAAATAATAAGTTGAATGCAAGTTTTGGATTCTTGTCTGTAACATTCAATGGCATATTGAATGTTTTTTTATTAATTTCAGCTTAGCATTTCTTTTAAAATAAATGTACCTAAATGAAATATGTGGATGGTTAATTTGTATATTGCTTTTTTACACCCATTAGCGTATGACAGCCCTAATAAGAACCAGTCTTGTAGTTTGGCAGTGTCTTCCTCTATAAATTGTACAAATTACAGGCTATACAGGAAATATATTGGTACTACTAGAAGATAGTTGAATCTCTTGAAGTTCTAGGGCTGTTGGTTAAACAACCCAAGATGCATATTTTCATGTCCACTTGGCTTCCCAAATTTTTGAATAATGGTACAGTGGTACCTCGGGTTACATACACTTCAGGTTACAGACGCTTCAGGTTGCAGACTCCGCTAACCCAGAAATATTACTTTGGGTTAAGAACTTTGCTTCAGGATGAGAACAGAAATCGTGCTCCGGCGGCAGCGGGAGGCCCCATTAGCTAAAGTGGTGCTTCAGGTTAAGAACAGTTTCAGGTTAAGAACAGACCTCCGGAACGAATTAAGTTCTTAAACTGAGGTACCACTGTAATTGGGTGTCCTCATACTACTGATTTACGGAGTTTTTAAAAAAAAAAATCCAGGGAAGAAGAAACGGTCCGTTGAATGAAAAGGCTGCTTGGATGAATATGTAAAAGCAAGAGTTTAAAGGGAAGTTGTATTATCCCCAAACTTCAACTCCCATGATGTTGGTATCAGCGAGCTTCCTGATTGATCTTTTTGAAAAAAGGAAATGTAGCCATTTTCTATTCCACATCTCTGCACAACACTTTTGTTTGGGTCTTCTTCAAACTGCAGTCTTTTGTGATATTTAGTGCAGACTACTTTCAACTGCACACCTACAATGAAAATTGAGGAAGCACTACTAGATGGAGTTACTTTTCACGGTTATAATGCATTTTCAATATTAAAATGCAGGGGTCATCAATCTTGACATTTGCAAAGGATTTTGTATGTGTCTCCAGGCAAGTGTCCCAGAGTCTTAGCTTTCATTTTCAGAAAAAAGCAGGTCTCTAGCCCTCCCAGAAAGTAAGTTATGCGGCAAAATGTACAGTACCTTCTAAATTACCTTGAGGTAATTTTAGAATTACCTTGAGGTAATTTTAGTATTACCTCAAGGTAATTTATCTCTGTTTTAATATTTAAACTTTTTATGTTTTAAAGTATGGTTGTGAATTTTCCTTGATTTCCTCATTTTATATTTTTGTAAACCACTTTGAGATTTGTTTTTTAATCAAGCAGTGTATAAATTTTATGAAATAAATAGTGATTTCTGTGAGATGAGAATGAGCGTGGTGTGGCCACCTTGTATAGTTTTCTTGGCATTGAGCTGTGCTCCCTGTTACTAGACAGCAACAGCATCAGTGTATATTCAGTATTGTGGTGATCTTTACAACCAGGACCAGCAGGGCATAGCTGACTTCTTGTGGTAAGCCTAAGGTTGATGGGGTTTCTAGTCTAATTTTGTGTTATGCCATGTCCCCAATGGCAGCCATTTTGTGATTGGTTCCCACAGCACACTCTCAAAATTCAAAATGTGCTCACTGGTACGAAAAGCTTGGCAAACCTCTGGCAAATTGCTATTGCGATGGTTTATTCCTCTCCTTGGATATTTGCCAGTTTCAGCGCCATTTGTGATGTATTGACTAGCCGGTAGCAAATCCCCATTTACTTTGTAAAACCGGTTGGACTCTTAACTCCTATCAGCCTCAGCCTATATGGCTAAAGTTCAGGGTTGGTTGTAGTTCAACATCATCTAGAAGGCCAGATTTCCCTTCTCTGCTTTTTTATATTGCATGCCATTGTTTTGGTTTGTTTTTCTTTAGACAACCATTTTCTTCAGACAACCCATCTTATTTCACATTGAAGCCACCATGGGGATGGATGCTTGAAAAACTGGTGAATTACCCATCATCACATACAAATTTTGACAGTATTCAACATTTGGGGGCCAGAGGACACCTTTAAATTTTTACCTAGTAAGAGATTTTTTAAAAACTGTAGTCTAACACACAAACTATTAAAGTATATTGGTTCTGGCTATGTTAATCTAAATTCCCCTTGGGCTATCAGGAACAGTACCCCCAGAATGCCTAGGTGTAACACTGGGCTGCTCCTAATGGAACATGTATAATCTATAATCTCATAGTTCTAACATGCAGATTCCAATTTCATGCATGTATTAGGTTTGATTACATTACATCTAAGAAAGCAGTGTTTGGAAGTTTGAACTATGAGAGTGTTAGCCTTTCCATCAGGTCAAGGACAATTTGGAGCAGGAGCCTTACTCTTGGGGTCCAACTGACCCTTGCAGTGCTTTGTAGGGGTGTGTGTGTATAAGTAAAACTTGGAAAAGAATGGAACCTAATTAATTTTACTTACCCATTCAGTAAGTGCAAAATAGACTTGATAGCTTTACTTAGTGTGGGGTTTTTGTTTTAAATTGAAAGGGGTAGGGGGAAGATGGATCACTTCAAGACAACTGAACACATTAACTGTTGAGGATGGAGTATAAATTGCTTCGTTTGTTCAAAAAATATTTCTAATGGTTGTTAAGGGTGTACAGCAACCCCAGTGGCTTTGGAGGGTTAATAATTGTCCCTACGCTCCACTGTAGTACACTACGTAACCATAGTACGCTACGAATGTGTGAGGTGAGTATTGCTGCTTGGCTGTCCTGCGTATGGCTGAGATGGTTGTAATGTTCACTATGGTTCCTTTACAGGCGAGTTTTACATTTGGCACCTTCAGAAAAGTCTTCCAGCTTTACCCTCTTAATTGTATCATTCCAAGTCCATCTCTGTTCTGCAGGCCACAGTTAAGAATTACTGACAGAAGAAAAATGCTATTTTGTGAAAAATACAAGTATTTATTTATTGTAATTATTCCCAGTGGCTTAGATAATGCCATAATGTAGTTGTATTTAAAGTCAATGACAGAACTGAAATTCATGCAGAAAGACTAGACTTTATAATACTGATAATAAAAAAATAATGTAGAAATGTTGCTATGAAGAAAAATCGGCAGGTGTGGGGAAATTTTGGCCTTTGAGACATTGCTGAACTGCAGTTCCCACCAGCCCTAGCAAGCATAGCCAGTAGAAGCAACATTTGGAAGGCCAAAGTTCCTCACATCTGAAATAAAAAGAAAATAAATCACCCCAAATAATCAGCTGCCTTGCATTTTGTATCCCTATAGGAATTACAAGGAAAATAAAATTAAATGTAAATTAGAAGTTCTGTAATACTGAAGGCACTTTCACAAAGAATACTGAAGCAGCTTAACTGCTGCATTGATGCAGATTTTATGCCGTCATCTGCATTGATGCAGCTATAACTAAGTTAAAGATTATGGGGCAGGATGTTAGGAAAAACCTCAAGTAAGAATAGGCACATAAACCTGTATGCTAGCCACCCAATTTAACACTCCATGAATATGGTAAGTCGGAGAATGAAAATTTTGGAATGTTTTGTGACACATTTATGAGAACACTAGATTATAAAGTGAAGTGAACAAAGCAGTGCTGTCTATTTTCACCAGCTGCTTAATTTGCTTCCATGCTTTAGCATACATCGGGAAATGGAAGAGTAACTTGGTTGCTAGGGATTGGGGCTATCTTTTCTACGAAGGTAGTTTATGAAAAGTCAAAATGTATTCTGAAATAGAATCATAGAATTAAAAGGAACCCTGAGGATCATCTAGTCCAACCCCCGGCAGTACAGGAATATGCAGCTTTCCCATATGGGGATAGAACCTGCAACTTCGGCGTTATGAGCACCATGCTCTAACCAATTGAGCTATCCAGGTCTTCCATAATTATGGAACTCTGAATCCCTTGAAACACAACTAAACTCACTGAGACAACTTTAATATTGCTGAATCTACTTTTAGTGGACCATTAAATTTCATACCATTAAAAAATCATAATTGTCAGGTAACAGTGTTCAGTTCTTTCTTTACTGTAGTTTAAAGTCTTAATTGTGTCCATCACCTAGCAGCAACACAATGAAAAATAACAATTTGCAGGGGAAATGCTTTCTAGTCTCAAAGGTGCTCTCTTCCTTGGTGGTTTTAATGCTAATCTTCATATTCATCCTCATTGTCATACTCTTCATCTTCCTCCTCCTTTTTCAATGGATTTCTGGAAATCTGCTACACAGAATATGACAAATCAGAATTTTTAAAATTGTAACCAAAAAAAAGCATTAGCCTTGAATGAAGTCAATCTGCATTTAAAAATACATTGTGTGTGTGTGTGTGTGTAAATTAAATAAATAAATAAATAAATAAATTAAAAAAAATTGTACACAGTATGGGTGTATGGTTGGCAGGTGATCATATAAGGCACTGTTTCTCAAACAGGATCCAGTAGGTGTGGAGTAACATGCAGGTGAGCTTTCCTGTAAAATTCTAACCGAGGGCAGGCCAACTTTTACCCTGCAGGCCGCACACTGCCTTGGCACGCATGTGTGGGGTGGGAGCGAGCTTCATATTTGACTCCCCCGCCAGCTTCCATGCTGCTTTCCTAAAGCCGGGTAAGCGAGACACTGGCCTTTGGGAAGGTGGTGTGAGAGGTGGGTGGTGTCAAAAGTTGCTGGTCTAAACAGCTCCTCCTCCCTTGGCTGCCCTGCTTTGTTGCAGTACCATAGACCTTTGGTTGAACAAATGTCAGCACCAGGAATTGCTTGCATAGTGAATAAAAGTAGCAGTGACAAAAATTCAGGAGGGAGGAGGGAAGAAAGAAAGAAAGGAAGGAAGGAGAAAGGGTCAGAGAAGATGTTGATGGAAATCAGAAAGTGAGGAAATTTAATTCATTAATTTAATAATATTTCATGGAATGTAGCTAAGGAAAGCATTCAAGCTTTCTAACCAACCTGAACTATTCCAGGACAAGATTTGGATGAAGCAGTCCTCTGGAGGGGAGACTCTGAATTTGCACGGACAATATCCAAACGAGACTGATGTTCTGTTTGATAAAGCGAACTCCGAAACATCTGTTAAATAAATGTTGGTGTTCAGAATACACAGGAGACCAGGGGTTTTCCAATCTACCTGCTGTGAACCTTTTCTATATCAGTTTGTTACCCAAGGAAACACACTGCATGTCTGCCCCACAGCCTCAGCACCTTGCAAATGATTCTGAAGTGTGTTGTCTAAGAGTTCATATGGGACACTGGCCAGTCCCGTTAAGCTTTACAGTTTGTCCAATTATAAAGCTCCTCAAGAACTAGGTAAGTTGCAGCACGGGTGCCTAGAGTAGAGGCCTGATCCGGCAGATAATTTTTTTTTCTGTCCTCAGCAAGATACTGATTGTGGCGGCAGCAATTTTTATTTTTATTTTTTTAAAAAAGATTCAGCATGTGGGAAGCAGTGGATGGTGCCTAGTGCCCTAACGGGGGATGCAGATTACTCCTCAGTCATCCGATCAATCATTTGATGAGCAAAGTGGGTAATGAGTCCTCTCCTCACCTCATCTGCATGAATTAGTGGCTGTGTGTGCAAGAGCCAAACTCACATGCAGCTTCCAGAGGGTTGGCCAAGGATGACTGCAGCTTGGAGCCAAAAAATGGTTAGCTTGCCCTGCTATAGAGCCCACAGGATTTTTCTAGCATATATTCAAACTAGAAAACAGGTGTGTTACTGCCTTATGGCCAACAGATACTGGCATAAATTCTAGTAGTTCTACTTAACTTGCTGGAGTGGATGTCTGAGGCAAGGTTGCAGGGATAAAATACAGCTAAATGGTGTTTGCCTCTACGGCTCCAAACTTGTCTTCATTTCTTTTTTCTTTTTTGAACTATGCCTTACCATGAAGTAAAATGGTAGCCTAAGGGAGAACAGACCAAGCCTTGCAGCTGATCACTACAGGGTGATCACTGTATGTGAGATTTCCCTTAAGAAATCTTTAGAAATATTCCACCTTAATAAGTTAAGATCTAAAATTGCTCTTAAATCTTGACACTAGCACACGCTTCATTTTGTTCATTATGGCTGAACACATTGTTAAGGATTTTCAGTTATCTGAAGTTCACTGAAGCGTTGCCAATGGCACAAGGACGAGATATTTTATTTTTTTAATGAAAGTTATACACTGCTTGATTGTAAAAAAAACCTCAAAGCGATTTACAAAAGATAAAATCGTGAAATCAAGAAAAAAATACCCTACTTTAAAACAAAAAAAGTTAAAATACTAAAACACATTAAAAAATTGTAAGCCTCTGGACAAGCTTGTCTAAACAGGAATGTTTTTATCAGGCACCGAAAAGAGTACAGTGAAGGTGCTTGCTTGATCTCAATAGACAGGGAGTTCCAAAGTGTAGGTGCTGCCACACTATGTCCCAATTCCACTGATCTAAGGGGTCAAATGGGTGCATATTGAGTAAGGCGCTCTTGTAGGTAAACTGGTCCAAAGATATGCCTCAATAACATTAAATATTGTGTAAATTGTGTAGGGAAAACAAAAACCAACAACCCTGCACAGCAGTACATTAGAAGTTCATCATGTTTCTTACCTCTAGGTCTTCATTCTCATCAATATTTTGTATCGTTTGGTAGGCAGCAGTGTAAATTTCTAAGGCTTTCCCATGGAATAGCATTTCAATTGTTACAAATTCTGAAAAGATATTCTAAAAACAGATGAAGGCAGAAAGTGTTACAGTAACTGCTCTATATTTATAATAAAGGCAGACTAACTGGGCTGTCACTGTATGAAGACTGGTAGCTTGATAAACGCTGTATAAAAAGAATATGGATCATTACATAGCAGCCCTTTGCAGTTGTAATGGCCGACTCTCAGGCCGAGGCTTTTCTTGTATTGGCCTATATGAGGTCAATGAAGCCCCAGCTCATTTCTGCATACAGCCAAGTACTTTGTCTTTCTCTAGATACTTTTATCTCACCCCACCCCTTGCCATTCTGGCTAGAAGCTTTCCACTGTTTTAGCATTTCCTATCTGAACCTAACTGCACTTTCCCTTCTGTTGTGCAGGGAGCTGCTGCATGGTAAGAATTACTTTCCTGTTTAATCACCCACAAAGTTACTTGTTCCTTACAATTAATAAACAGCATGTTAGTGCTAGGAATCATGACCAAATTCTTAACTAAATGAGAAGTCCACTGCTCTGGCCCCTCAATTTTTAAAGTTCTGCACAAGACTGGAACAGCTTTACCTATTTTTATAACAAGTAGAAACTAGCTGTGAGTGGGCTGTGATACTACAACATGTATTATCTAAAAATACAATTATTACAGTTTTTACACTTTCCTTTAGCATTCTAGTACAAGCTGACACCTCATTTTACCCACAAACTGGGGCAAACTGGTACCCCACTGGGGTTCCTGTGAATTCCAGCAGCTGCTTGAAATATTTCTTAAGTTAAAAATTAGCGAATATGAGCTACTTCATAGCTCTCCACAGTTATGGGGTCAGTCCTGTGATGTTTCATCATTTCCATTTCTGAAACTAAGCAATCAGAGGTCTCAATTTATCCCTATTGAAATGAATGGGAAAGTAAATCTGCCAAAGGTCTAAGCTAAACGAGTCCATTCTATCCTCAGCAATGTCTCAAAATTGGGTAGTTAAAAAAAGTTTGCATTTTGCTTGTACTGTAATTCCATTTTTTGTAAGTATACCACTTCAAGAGCAGTGGAGTGGATTTTCTGTTTATTTTGTCTGTACATTCCTCCGTGTGCAAGCACACACAAAACCCTTAAAAAGCACCACAGCAGTCTATTGAACCCTGGAGTAAATTTTACCCTAGGGAGTTAATTCTGCTTCAGATTGGCATTATCTTGACACAGGAGTAAACACTCTTCTAGTGCAAACTTGCAACACTAGTTTCTTATTTGTAATGGGTTGTCTTCAACATTGTGCAAGCGGACTTGTGGAACGGGACTTACCCTTCTCTTTCCCCCCCCTGCAGCCCCCAAACCTGCTCCTGAGGATGTGCTATATTCCTTCTGTTATATACTATGACCAAACATTTCATCTAGGTGTTTTTGGGCTTCTTTTTTGTACTGCTTTCTTCTCTAGCGCTATCTTCCTGATAGCACAAGGAGGATTGTCTACTTGGTGGTTTATAGCTTTGCTCCAGTTGCGTCCCAAAAGAAATAATGCTCTCTGTACATTTTTTTAAAGGGAACAACCATGGGGTCCAATGTACCCCAGTAGTTTTTGTGCTTTATTGATATACCAATGAAAACTTTAAAAGGAGATATAAATTTTATTGTGTGAAACTGAAGTCATTTTGAAATTATAATTGATTTATTTCTAGTTAGGGTAAGGGGACCTATTGGTCCCCAATAGCAGATTAATGTTTGTTAAAATAAATGGTGAAGGAATATTAAATAGATGATCTAAATGGCTCTTTCCCTGAGCCATTTTTTAGGTTGTTGATTTATATTAGAGTATATATACACACACACACCTTTATATCTCTTATTTTTTGTTTTTCAAAGTTGTCAATGGTTTCTTCCAAGTACCGACTTGTCCGTGTGGCATCCAGTGAAGCTCTTTGTAATTCACTTTCAGCCTTTAAATATAAATGATAAATAGATGTTATTCCTATAATTTTGAACAGACACTATTAATTAGAATGCCCTGGAAATAGGAACCACTATAGTGGTAGCTCTCAGAACAAAGCTATTAATCTGTGCACCACTGTATTTCATAAGAAGAGCTCCCTTGGATCAGACCAAAGCCCATCTAGTTCAGTCTCCTGTACTCTCAGTGACCAACCAATCGCCCATTGAAAGCCTGCAAAGAGGTTTCAGTGCACTTTAACCTGGTATTGTCTCAAAGACCTTTGCTACACTACTATCTCCTGTACCAGAAAGGAAGTTAAAGTCTCTTATAATTGAATTTCTAGCATTTTTGCCTTTCTCTAAGAATTTTTTTGAAGCCAAAACAAGCTGACCACCACATGCATGTATTTTTTTAAGCAATAGAATAATGTAATAAACATTACATTATACTTCTTCATCTACTTTTTCAAGCTGCTGTTTTACCAGAAAAGAACATGATTTGTCAAACTCAGAGCTTTGGAGCAGCTGATGACATCTGGTGTTTATTGGCTTCACCATAATGATTGTAAAAAAGATACAGTACAGTGGTGCCCCGCAAGACGAATGCCTCGCAAGACGAAAAACTCACTAGAAGAAAGGGTTTTGCGTTTTTTGAGTCGTTCCGCAAGACGAATTTCCCTATGGGCTTGCTTCGCAAGACGAAACGTCTTGCGAGTTCTTGCAAGTTTGTTTCCTTTTTCTTAAAGCCGCTAAGCCGTTAATAGCCGCTAAGCCGCTAATAGGGTTGCTTCGCAAGACGAAAAAACCGCAAGACGAAGAGACTCGCGGAACAGATTAATTTCGTCTTGTGAGGCACCACTGTAACTTGTACAGCTGGGATGCTGATATACAAATAACTGATGAAACATAATTAAGAATATTAGAATTTAATTTGATATTTCATCCAAAAAAGAAGACCTACCTGTGACTGAAGTTTGCAGTAAATGAAATATTTTAAGTTATGGAAAGTGCTAACACACTGGTATTCTACAGACATAAAAGCATATTTATATACAAATAACTCAGTCGGCTCCCAGTGTCTCTTAGGCACTGAAATGAATTTATGATGGATTAAAAAAAAGAAAATCTAGAACCTATAACAAAACAGGGAGCTAAGAAAGAAGATTATTTTCCTCTCAGGAGCTTCATTGGTAGACAACTCCTTTTTAATAATGTTATCTGCTGATGCTATCAGTTAGCCAGAGTACTTTAGGGCAGAGGTTTTCAACCTTTTTGAGTCCACGGCTCCCTTGACCAACTACAGTATTTTTCGCTCCATAAGACGCACCTTTTTCCTCCTAAAAAGGAAGGGGAGATGCCTGTGCGTCTTACGGAGCAAATGTGTGGTTGATCGCTGGCTCCCTTTCCGGCCCCGGCCCCTTGCCCAGGTCTCCATTGTTGAATGTTATGCAGATGGAGGCTGTTTGTTTCCCCAGCGACATGTGACTGGCTGATTAGATTGTCTGTCTGGAAACTGTAGAAACGGCTCCCTTTCCTTTCCTAAAGAAGCTGCAGAACTGTGAGTTGAACCCCATAAAAAAAGGATTTTTTCCCTTTGCAAAGTAAGCTCAACAACTTTGAGCTGATCCTCAAAAAAACCCGGGGCTTTTCCCCTTTGCAAAAGAAGCTGCACAACTGTGAGCTGATCCCCCCCAAAACGGGGCTTTCCCCCTTTCCTCCTCTAAAAACTAGGTGCGTCTTATGGAGCGAAAAATACGGTGCATTCTTCCTGTGGCTCCGCTGTGGGGCCCAGGAGCTCAGTTATGTCACCCCTTGCCTGCAGAGCTGGCAGCCTCTCACCCTTTTTCAAACACCCTCCCTTGTGGGGTGTTCCCTCAGCCGCCTCTCCTCTCCCCTCTTATTGAAAGCCCTCCAGGCAGTCAGTGCTGTCACCCCTGGTCTCTAAATTGCACTCCCCTGCCCCAAAGAGAGCTGCCTCCTCACACTGCCTCTCAGGGGCCTGGGAAAAAGATGCCCCCAATCTTAGTAGCCCAACAGAGACTGGTCAAAGGTGAACATGAGGCCAGCACATTACCTTAGGAGGCAGCAGTGGACGCTGCTGGGCCTGCATGGCAGAAGGGCTCCTCTTCAGCACCAGTCACTCAGCTCCCAGGCAGGCCATGCACACAGCAAGCACAAGAAAGGCCAGTGCCAGCCTGCCCAGTCTTCCACTTGTCTACCCATTCCCAACAGCAAGGACTGACGGACTGGCTGGCTCAGCTGCCTTGCTTACTCCAAGGCTGCCTCAGCTCCTGGCAACCAGCACCCCTGGCCAGCCCCAGAGACACTATTCACTTGGGGAGTTTGTAGCCAGGGCCACAGCAACAAACAGCTGTGCAAGCCTTTAGGAAGCAGAGATGTGAGAGGGCATCAGAAGCAGGAGGGAAGGAAAGAAGGACAGAGGCCAGCGTTGCCTGCTGCACCCCTAACCATCATTCAAGGCACACTGTTGAAAACCACTGCTTTAGGGACATACTAGGTGGAAGAAATTCCACTGGAGAGGCATATCTCTCACATAAATTTTGCAACAGTCATCTAGTAAAGCGTATATTTGAAAGCTGCTGAACACTTGTTTGCAAAGGATACAATAATGTGCCGGTCTGATGGATTTCGTTGACGCGTCTTTTCAAGCTGAGAGAGCTGTTTCGCTTCTCGATTCTTTGCTGATAAAGTTGCTTTGAGATCCTCCTGAAATCATATATATGGACACACTCAAAGTCTAAAGATTCTACAGAAAAGATTTTTGTTCATTTGCATTCCTGATAACTAGCCTTCAAGTCAAAGGAGTTTTACCACACTAGCCATTCATTTTGTGCAATGCCAGGTCTTGGAAGTTAAGACTACTAATTGAGATGGGATTATGAACTGGAAACTGCTTTTAATGACAGGGCTGGTGCTGTGCTTTTATTGAAATCATCTGTATGCTACTAGATTACATATATAGTTTTGATTCTATTAATGTTGGTTTGTAAATGATTTTTTCCTGTTTTTAGCTATTCCTATTTTATCTATAAGCCTTGTGCTCCTATTGGGTAGTAAGGCAGGATATATATAATAAAAATAATCAGAGATGGGATTTTTTCTAAAGAAAAGGTTCTCTAATCTTCAAGAAATGCTGTGGGTATCCATGTAATACTAGGATTAATACAAGACAATCTTAATCAGATATCACATGACAAAGTTCAATATACACACAATATATGCAATTGCCAAATAAAAGACAATAAAGTAAAAGAAAACAAGAAAAAAACTTGATTCTTATAATAGGCAACGAAAGATTGAAAACAGAACTCTCATTTTTTTCCATTCTTAATGGCAATATTTGCACTATCTTTCCATAAATTATCATCTTAAATGCATGGGAGGCAATCCTAAATAGGTGGTAATTTCCCATTTCCAGGCCTATAGCTTTTCAGTATTTCCTATGGATACACTTTTAATGAGGGATTTGTGTGCTCTTTCCAATGTCTCCATGGTTTCTTCCTGAAATTGCTGCAGCCAATTAGAAAAAGAGATACAAAGCAAAAAACTGATTTGTATGATCTCTCTTGCTCCCTAATTTATCTGCTTTTGCTTGCTCTTTGATTCATCCGATCTCATTCCCCCTCCCTCTCTCCATGGTTTCTGCCCGAAAATGGGAACTGCTGAGTAGCAAACCCCCAAATACAAGGAAGTAAGGAAGTCAGCTGCTGTTCAGATAAGTGAATCTGCCAAGCATATAGCAAGGTTTGGGAATATTTCTTTAAGTGTGGATAAGTGAATTTTGGTATAAAGAGCATGCAGATAGCGGGACCTGTGTGAATTCTGAATTTCAGTCTCATAAGCACAAGAGCTGCCTCTGGTGCTGCATTTTGAATAGGATTCTGAAACTGCATTAGTTCAGAATGTGGTTTCTAGTTTACTAACTGATCCACATCATTCTTGTGCTGTCTAAAAGCATGACAATGAGATCAACAGAACAGCCTTTTCCTGCTGTGGTTTCCAATCAATATTAAGAGGCATACTGTTTTATCCTTCAGGTAGCATAGCCACTGACAACCATATCCTCCATGAAGCTGTCTAATTCTACTTCATTGGATGACCTTAGGTTCTAGTGTTATGTTCAGGTATGTAAAGTTTAATTACGGATATGACATTTTCTTGCTGAATTTACCAACAATTGATTACTGAAATACTAATTTATGAGATCAGAAGCAGTTGAACCTTCCTTGAAAAGAAAATAAACATGCAATGAAAAACAAAATCCATCACCTACTCTCTTAAGTTTTATGATGGTCCCATAGCATTTCAGAGGTTCAACAACTTTTGCTTCAAGTCTTTCTACCTGTAAAGAGGAGCAATGAAGTATTGTTTTAACTTTAAATTTTGGCTATCAGTCTTAAAACTGGTTTTGAGGAAATTCAAACACACAACTAAGGAAGAGGGAAAACATACTACAGTTCGGCAGTAAGAAAATTCAGTTTTGGTTTTAGTATCTCACAAATTACACCTGCATTTTTACTTTAAAATACAGTTGATTAATTATATGCTTTTTAGCTGAAAGAATAAATTGAAATACAAATGACATCTCTCAAAACACTCACTACAGTTGTCTTTTCGAAATATTGAAGAAAATAAGCATAGTAGGAAAGAAAACATTTAATACTGTCCTCCTCATTCCCATTTACAGTAATAAAGCAGGACCAAAGTAAACACAGGTAAATAAATGTGTCATTAACTTTCAGCACCATCTGGTGAAATTTGCCCCCATCATCTGAATATTTAGTTATTCAATTTGATTAAAGTTTCTAAATGAGTTTTTTTCCAAACACGGGGTATTTCTGCAAGGAAAAGTTTGCTGGATGATACGAGGGGGAAAAGCAGAAAATGGCATGGCGATTTGTGTAACTATAAAACATGACCATTTTGAGAAATGCAAGACAGCAAGGATGTCTCCATGCACCTTCATAGACTAGCTGTAATTTGGATCTTGTACCACAGTGGCTATTAAGTGAAATCATGATGTGACACACGCTATCTGAACGCTTGTCTCTTCTTTTTGTGTTTATTAGATTTGAAGCCAATAAGGCAGGTGCTTTTTTTGCTCTTTTGGTTAGGAGTATTTTAAGCACCTTATAAATTACGATGATCAAAAATAAAACAGGAAGAAACGGCTGTCATGAGAGTAGCATTAGATCTATGCAAGATACTAACATTTATTATTTTGATTACTGGAAACATTTCCAAGTCATATCAGCTTTGCAACCTGTCTTTGCCTTTCCAAGCCTAAGAACCCAACTAGCAACTGTATCATTCTTTAAGGGGAAAACGTGCAGGGTGTGCACTCATCTCAACAGTGTTGAACACAGGTCACAGTTCAGAAAAGAGCACATAAGAACAGAATAATCATTTTAAAATGGCAAGATGGAAGAGCAGTGTTGTAACTGGGGGAGGAAGTGGCAACAGGAAAAAGAGGAGCAGTATCAGCTTAGTATGCAGAACCTGTTTTTGAGCCTACACCCGACTGCCCTTTTTTCAAAAGTTTTTTACCATCATGGCAGGAGTTTATTTTATTTAAAATACTTATATACCACAATTCATGAAAACAGATTCAAGGTGGTCATGAGTACATTGCAGCTACAGTTTCAAAAATGGCCACGGTCATTTGCAAGGGGTAGTAGTGCTGCTAATTCCCCAGTATTTATATTGTTATAAATACTGGATTCAGTGGTTTCCTTGGGCTGCATCAGAGCAAGAAAAGATGCACTTGAATCCCCCTGAAATCAATGTGAAAAAGTTCAGACTAACTTGTCTCATAGGACCTTAGGACTAACATACTCTGGATCCAACCTCTTATTCTTAAGTGCATAAAGTCATAAGTGCAAATAAAAGTAATAGCTTATAATTTAAAATACAAACTTTCCACTATGAAGTGCATTGTATACCTCTGCGTGGCGATAATCTTGAAGTTTGGAAAACTCATTTGCAAAGTTTTTCAATCCATTCCTTAAACTTGGTGTTTCTGTAGCTGCATAAGCATGAATCTCATTTACTAGAAGATCTGCTTTGTCTCGCAGTCTGGCAGTTTTTCGTACATATGCTGCAAATATTTGGCACAATTCACCAAAGTGTTTTTCCACTTTTGACACAGATTCTCGTACTTGACGAGTCTGGTTGTCCCTAGACAAAGAAGTTAAAGCATTATGGTCAGGCAACATTAACAACAGCCTAAACAACTCTGGTAATACTACAACAATTATTTTGATCTCGGTTCATTTGAAGAGAAGAAAACAACAATCCACACTATTGGTAAGTGTTTAGGGTGAATATCACTGATTCATAGAATTCTAGAGTTGGAAGTGACCATAAGGGTCATCTAGTTCAACCCCCTGCAATGAAGGAATCTTTTCCCCCAACGTGGGGCTCATAACTGAGCTATTGCTGCTGTTAATCTTCTGTAGCTTTCTCAAGTACACTGCCCCCTCCATCAAGTTTGAACAGCATATAGGAATATAAGTGTTCCAAGGTTCCCCAGCTCCTGTGATTCCCCAAATGCCACATCTGATTATCTGCTGGAAGTAATAAAAACGTTCCTGGGAGCTCAGTGATGAACAATATATTTAGGGCAAGTCTTCAGTTACCTGTATGAACATGCCCAAGTATTACAGGGTTCAAAAACCTGAATGCCAGCAAGAGCACTACGCTGGTGAATACTAGGGGCAGTTCTCTCAGCGGTGGCCCCACACCTTTGGAACTGCCACCCCGCATTCCACCAAGTGGTGTATGCCCTTTTCAATGCTGGCTATTAATATATAAAAACACATTTATTCAAGTCTGCATTTGCTAAACCATGCTGCTGCTGGTGTGTGCATGTACTTTGCAAATGTATCTTCAGGCGGTACCAGGGCTGTGTGCCCTGAAAGATGGGTTAAAAACCTTTCCATGGGCGTAGTCAGGATTTTTTTTTGGGGGGGGGCACAGAGCCAAGTTAGTTAAGTACAGTATTTCCATTGTTTTACTTGATGGGGAGGGGGAGCTGCCCCCCTGCGCCCCCTTGGCTACAGGCACAAAACTTTCAAATACATATTAGAGTTGCATTGCAAAAACGGTATAGCTCATTTTCTAAAACCCAGAAGGATTACATATTCCTTAGTATCTAAAACGTGTGTGTGGAATGGAGAAAAGAATGAGTCATTCTATCTCCCGAGGGCGATTTCGAAGCAGGCGCAACGACAGCTAAGTTGGGGTGGGGTGGGCGATTCTGGGGACGGGGCGCCTGAGACTGGGGCCGGCCTTCGTTTCCCTTCCAAGCTTTCCATTGCGCTCGGATTTGCGCAAGGAGAACTTGCTGCGGAGCTTTGAATCTAGCTCCTCGGCCCCTTAGGCTCAGCGGGACCTCCCAAATACGCGCCCCCAAGGATTTCAGCGCCGAGCTCTAAAATACGCGTAGGGTTCCTGAGCGCGTGCAGAGTGCCTTTGCCCCCGGGCCGAGCCACACTCGGGGATGAAGAGAAGGGGGTGGGCTACTTGCTTCTTAGGATGCAAACCCGGGGACCCATTGGATGGGTGTGGTGGGGGGATCCCCGAGTCAGTCAAACCTACCCCCTCCCCGAAACCCCCAATTAGGGGGAGGGCGCGGCCATCGCGCGTCCCCCCGTCCAGCCCAAGGCGAGCATCCTTGTTCGCCGTGCCTCCCCCCGACCCCTAAGATCCCTCGCTTTGCGGCCAGCAGCCAAGGCGGAGGGGAGCTTGTCCCTCTGCCTCTCCGCAGAGCCGTTACCTGGCGTCCAGCCCGCGGCCCAGCATCAACATGGCGGCGGCAGCGGCGGCAGAAGCCGCAGCGACGACAACAGCGGCAGTTAGCGGAAGGAGCCCCGGGCGCGCGCGCTCGCTCGCGGCTTCCAGCCGGTTCCCTTGGAAACCGAGGACCGCCCACCCACCCAGCCGGCTGCGCGGCCTAGCCTCGCCCACCCGAAAAAGCCGGCCTGAGGGGAAAGAGGCGGCGTAAGGAGCTCGCCTCCCTTTCGCTCCTCGGGAGGGCAGGGCTCGCGTCTCTTCCCTTCAGAGTCAGTTCGGGGGGAAATGACCGCCGTTATTTTAAAAGGGAGCCCTTTCCGGCAGTACTTTTAGAGCAGGGGGTGTGGGGAGAGCATTTCCAAGATGATGCTGGACTCCAACTCCCATCAGCCCCGGATAAGGTGGCGAGCTGTGAGGAATGATGGGAGCTGTAGTCCCACTGCGCCTGGAGTACCACAGACCTCAGTGAGCCCTCATTCTTCAGTCATAGAATCATAGAACAGTAGAGTTAAAAGGGACCCTGAGGATTATCTAGTCCAACCCCCTGCAATGCAGGAATATGCAGCTGCCCCTTCAGGGAACAAATCTGCAACCTTGGCATTGTCAGCACCACGCGCCGCATAACCAACTGAGCTGTCCTGAACGCAGTTGTTTATTTGTCACTGTCTTTATGTCGCCCATGGCAATCCAAAGCGACCTGCAAACCCTCCACAGCCAGCTACATGAGCCCCTCACCTCGCACAGGACAGACAAGAGGACGAATGAAGGAGGGAAGGGGGCTCTTTGCAATCTCTGCAGCATCTACTGGGTCTTTGGATAGTGCAGAGCCATCAATTATTTTGCCACCTGGAGCGAGAAGACTGGTGACCCAGAGAGTGGAGGTCGCTGTGGCTGTAGGGCTCTTCCTCCTCTCATTTTTTCATCTGGGCTGGTGTAGTGCAGGCATAGGCAAACTCTGCCCTCCAGATGTTTTGAGACTACATTTCCCACCATCCCTCACCACTGGTCCTCTTAGGGATGATGGGGGTTGTAGTCCCAAAACATCTGGAGGGCCAAGTGTGGGGATGCCTGGAACTTTAGATGGTCTTTGGGTGGCTAGAGAGAGTGATAGCAGCGCAAGACAACTAGTGGTGGTGCGAATGGTTTCTTACTGCTAAAGCCACCGATTCCTCTCACTTGCTCACCCTGCCCTCCTTCTCATCCTAATGGCATGACAGACAGAAGGGGAGGGAGGTAAACAGAGCAGAAACCACTGTATTTTCCAATATGATCTTATTTCTGTTACCTATTTTTATTTTAACAAAATTCATATACACTGCTTGATTGTGAGAAAATCTCTAAGTGGCCTAGCTATGTAGTAGAACCTCAAAGTTAATCAGCACAAAGCTGATCTGAACATCAAGAAAAGTGCATGGTGCAGTCTTCATTGTACTCTGAAACTTCATAATTCAAGTGTGTCTTCACATAAGCAGAAAGCCCCTTCATGCAAAATACTTCCAACACTTGAATCCTTCTCACTCTTTTGATCATTTTTCATGTGCAGTGACTTTCAGGGGGAACCTAGAAAGGCTTTAAAAGGAGATAAGACAATGAAGAAGATGATTATTTGCCCATCTGAGTGGGACCTCCCTATTCAGAGGTGATGTGTTGCTGAATACTATTTGTTGGAGAGCAACAGCAGGAGAAGACTATTGCCTTCATCCCTTACTGTGGACTTTCTTAGAGCATCTTGTTGGGCACTGTGAGGAAACAGGATGCAGAAGTAGATGGACCTTTGGTCTGTGGCAACAAGCTTCTTATTCTGGGAGGCAGTAAGAGAATTGACCCCCTTCATGGATCACTGCCTTGTCGTGGCGAAGGGGCTCGAATAACTCAGAGAAGCTATGAGCTATGCTGTGCAGGGCCACCCAAGATGGACAGGTCATAGCCGAGAGTTTAGACTAAATATGATCCACCTGGAGAAGGAACTGGCAAACCACTCCAGTATTTTGCCAAGAAAACTCCGTGGACATAAAAAAAGGGAGAAGCTTTGAGAAGAAAGTGAGAGTTTCCAAGGCATGCTCTGATTCATGGGGTCACGGAGAGTCGAACACGACTAAGATGACTAAACAACAAGAGAATTGATAGATACAAGGATATCAAAGCAAACTAATGTTTGTTTTGTTACTGAAGTTCAGTCTATGGAGGCTGCCATTTTTTTGGGGGGAGCAGTAGTGGAAGAGGGAACATTTAACCTTTCCCCTCACAATCCTTTCCTGATAAAAAGCGTCCTTTCCCTATTTGCTCTGTGTCTCCCTTCCCATGGGACAAACAGAGGTCTTGAGTGGGAGAATAACCCTTCTGGACCACTGCTCCAAAGAAACAGTCTGCTCCCCAAAGCTGCTTTTCAGAAAACATTGGGAGATGCAGTCATCACAGATCACCCAGAGAATATGTACTTTGTTTCTTAGTGTCCTTGAACTGAAATTTGGACAGTGCACACCTGTTACCAGACACAGGACGCAGTTTGCAACAAAGCACTACAAATGTTGCATTTTGAGCATTTGTGGCAGCATTCAAACCTTGAATGGTGACAAACATGCATGTCCAACTCACATGGGTTGGGAGCCACCATACACAGGGTTTGTAATCTCTTTTCCTGCGGTTCCAGATTCCCAGTGCTTGTATGAATAGGGCTACTGTGGGCCCTACAGTAGTAGAACTCTCTTCCTCTAAAAACCTGCCAAAAGTTGAACCTGAACATTTTCTTGAAGTCCTGGAAGGCAGTTTTGTTTGGATTAGTTGCTTATTGCTGTGGATAAGCAAACAGTAGGTGGTTTTTAATTTGGTAGAATTTGCATTTTTACAGTATGGCTTTCTTTACAATAACTTTAATTTGTTTTATGCTGTTTTTAATAATCTTGATTGCTTGGGGCTGAGTGAGCATAAAATCTACACAGGGGAATAAATGAGCAGAAATCATGGTAAGAGAAATTACATCACTTTCTGCCCGCTCTAAACTCAAATGGGAATCAGACCCAAGAGTTTTCAGTGCCTAGTCCCAAGCCCAGATGGCAAGTGCTTTGCTCACAAATTCTTGAGATATTGCTTTTAATTTCCTGACCCGAGTATTTTCTTTTTCAAAAATGCATATTAGCTTAAAAAATATAGTCTTAATTTTATTTTTAATTATCAGACTATATCATTTCAGTATCTAAAATTGTAGAGATGAAAATGTACGCTTTTAGCAAGTGACTCAGTTTGAAAGTTGTGAATAAATTGGAACCATTAAATGATAACTCACATTTTAGGTAGGGGTGTGTGTGTGTGTGTATTCATTCCAGGTATTCTGTACAGGAATTCCATTTTGCTACCATACATTCATGCTGATGTCTTGATTCATGGTTACTGTTATTTCACCTGCCTTCTGAAAAGGCAAGGCTTCACAGCAAGATTTTCATCAGTGAGTGCTTGCTTAAGATGACAGGCTGCATGTAAAGGTGGTGTTTCCCCTTCGCATTAATACTCCAGCAGTCAGCATTGGTATTTGCAGTCTTTATTTCATATACAGTGGTTCCTCGGGTTACAGACGCTTCAGGTTTACAGACACTTCAGGTTACAGACTCCGCTAACACAGAAATAGTACCTCGGGTTAAGAACCTTGCTTCAGGATGAGAACAGAAATTGCATGGCGGCGGGGTGGCAGCAGCAGGAAGCCCTATTAGCTAAAGTGGTGCTTCAGGTTAAGAACAGTTTCAGGTTAAGAAAGGACGGTAAGTTCTTAACCCGAGGTACCACTGTATACAAAAAACAGCTACAGTTCAGAATTACGCGTTCAAACCTGTTGAGTCAGATTCAGGGAGTGGCTTCCTACGATTCCCGCGCCAACGAAATAGGCATGGGAATCACACGAGACTTTGATCCTTACATTTCATTTCCCTCCTTGTCTGTGCTGATTTGAAAGCCCCCTCCCTTCCTGAGTCTGAGCTTCCTTCCCAAGCCTCTGGGTGGTTGCAGGGCTCTTCAACATCCCCGAGCCCCTGTTCCGTCTCTTCTGTCCATTGCTCCTCTGAATCCTCCTTGACACTGCATAATTGCATCCTATAAAATCTGGGACATTTGAGAGGTTTGCAGTAGCAGATGAACTTGCTACTATTGTTTATTAGGTAAAGCCAAGGGACAAAACCTGATGGTTTTATTTTGGGGACCTTTCAAAACTTGAGTGGTTGAAACTGGCCATTCTCTGTAGCAATAATTGCCATGCATTGAGTTGAGATCTACCAAGCCGTGGTTTATTAACAATACTTTTGAGTTTGCACTATTACCATAATACACCCCTGCGCGTCCTGGAAAAGCTATGCCTACTGAATCCAAAAATGGCATTTGCCTTCTTTGGCAGTTGTATCACAAAGACATATTGTGATTGGCCAAAAGTTTCAAGCCTCCCTTTCCTAAAATATGAGTTGCCACAGTTGGAGGAAGAATGCTGGAAGACAGTGGTAATGTTGCATGGTAGCATTGCATATTTTCATATAAAGGTAAAGGGACCCCTGACCATTAGGTCCAGTCGTGGCCGACTCTGGGGTTGCGGTGATCATCTCTCTTTATTGGCCGAGGGAGCCAGCGTACAGCTTCCGGGTCATGTGGCCAGCAGGACTAAGCCGCTTCTGGAGAACCAGAGCAGCGCACGGAAACACCGTTTACCTTCCCGCTATTTATCTACTTGCACTTTGTGCTTTCGAACTGCCAGGTTGGCAGGAGCAGGGACCAATCAACGGGAGCTCACCCCGTCGCGGGGATTCAAACCGCCAACCTTCTGATCGGCAAGTCCTAGGCTCTGTGGTTTAACCCACAGCGCCACCCGCGTCTCACATTTCATATATGAGACTTAAATTATGCTGAAACTTCCCTTGCGCTATATGGGAAGGGGAACCTGTGACCCTCTAGATGTTCTTAGACTGTAAGTTCCATCAGCCTCAACCAGCGTGATCAGTGATAAGGGATAATGGGAGGTGTAGTCCAAGAGCAATTGGAAAAAAATTGAGGGTGGGCATTGTAATTCAAATGAGCTTTCTGGGCAGTGTAGGTTTTCCTTTCACTTACCCGCTCTGAAATGTACAAATTCACAAGGATGGCCACTAATCTCAGTCTTACCCCTGTATGTGCAAAATGAGAAGGGTAACTCTGGTCCACCTTGACTATAAGGTGCCCTAAGGATTGCTGACATAATATATGAGCAGCAGTTTTGAACATCTGAAATGTGCTACACAAATGCTAGCTCTTAATTTCATATCAACTTTTTAAATCACAGGAACAGTACCAAAGTCAAAGAGCAACAGGAGAAGCTTTTATTTCCACAAAATGTAGACAGTTGCCAGGCTAGGGTATATTATGCTACAATATTTGACACAGTACCAGATAAGCAATTAGATAACAATTTCAATTTTGTTTAACAGTGTTCTAGCCGATGGGTCTCCATGGCAGGAAAATATTATTGATTGGACC